TAAGCAATTATACGTTCAAAGTGCTTTACAATCACTTAGCTATTCCTCACAACAGCCCTGTGAGGTAGGTCGACATTATTACCCCCATTTTACAGATGGGGAAACTGAGGCACAGAGAGGTTAAGTGTCTTGCCCAAGGTCACACAGCAAGTGAACGCTGGCACTGGGACTATAACCCAGGTCCCCTGACTCCCAGTGTCCTTGAAACTGGACCACACTGCTTCCAAAGAGGCATCCCCGGACTGGCTTTGAATTGGAGACGGACAATGTCGGATGAGGTTTGGGTGTGGTGGTGCTTCCCGCGGACGCGTTAAGATGGAACCTGAGGTGTCCCCTGGGTTGGTCTGGGCATGCAGGTGTGTGTCAGTGTAAATGGGGGTGTCTGCGCTTCCTGTCCTGCCCCCGTCCCCCTGCAGTGTGCACACGGCACTGCAGAGAGCTGAGCGGGCCGGTCAGGACGGGCCAGCAGATATAAAAACAACTGTCAGCCCAGCGCCGAGGGGCCTGCCAGTCTTTGGTAGTTCGGGCAAACTAGGGATGCAGGACTTTGGAATGGAGTCAGCTGCCCACCTTAGGCAGGTCTGCTTACTCGTTTTTATTAATCTTTTTTTTTTTTTTTTTTTACTGGCCAGCATCAGGAAGTTGTGTTCATTTCATTTCTCTTGGGGCGGCCGCCCCTCTCCTTTGCTCTCTCTCACTCTTTCCCTTTCTCTGAGTCTCTGCTCGCAAGGGAAAACTGATAAGCCTTGCTCGTTCCCTTCCATGAGAAGGAGCCACGTGAGCAGTGTCCACGACAGGAGGCCACGGCCCCACAGTTGAGCCACGGCCCCGCTTCCACCTTCCGGAAGAGTGCTTTGCTTGGAAGGGGTCTCTCTGGGGCCTTGGGTTTGCTTTTTTCTGCATTTCTCCCGAAATGCTGTTTCAGTAGAAATAAACCCACTTGAGACTTTTCCCTTTCAAGGCCTTAGCCACAAACGCCTTCCGACTAACGAGCTTGGTGCTGTAGCTCAGGCAGAAAATTCTAAAGCATCCGTTCAAGCATCTGAAACAAATGAATCAGCCAGTGAAATCTTATCTGTTAGCATCTGTTCTTCTCTTAGATTAAAAAAGAAAAAAAAATAGCCTTTTTATGGCTTTAGATGGAATCATGCTTTTAAAAAAAAGACAAAAAAATCTTGCTGATTTTGAGACTAACGTGACTAGAGGACAGGCATGAGATACTCGACAGGTTCAGTGTCTGTGGAGTATCCCGATTTCCCTCTGGGTTTATGCCTGAGTCCCTCCAAGGAGGCCATGTGAAGGAGTCATTTGATTCCGATCCACCACCCACCTTTCCACTGGGCCACCTACGCCACCACCTGCCGGCTGGGGCTCAGGCTTGCATGTGATAAAACCTGTCTAATTCTTTTACAAGCCTTAAACCTAACTTCCAAACAGGTAAGAAAAAAAAAAAAATCTAGCCCTCTCAAGTCTTCCTGTCATGAAGATGGGCAGGCTCCTGTTTGGGCTGAGCGGGGAACAGTCTCCCCCTCAGACTCCATCGGAGTGTCTTTGGCATAAAGGAAATCCTTGGACATTGAAAGAAAAAGAAATGAACAAAACTTTCCCCACTCTGGGACCTGTTTTTTTGGGTTTTTTTTTTTTTTTCCGATCCATGAGATACTGGGCTAATGCATGTCTGGATCTTGCAGTCCTCATCTGAAAAGTCTGATGGGGCAGTACTGTTTGCTGGGGAGGGGACAGAGTTTTCATGACTGTGGACTTGTGTTCATTTAGTTGCTTGATCCAGGTGGAAATCTGCAGGTCACTGGGATGCAGCAACAATGGATGAAGAGCAAAGGCTGAGTCAAACTAAAGTGAATATGGCACGTAGGGGATGAGGGAGGAAAAAGCAAAAGCCTGACGCAGCTTCCCTCTGATCCCCTCTGGAGAGGGGCGGGAGAGAAGGCTGGCTTTACTGATGAAGATGGATGGACGGATGGAAACTGCACACTCATTCAGACCACAGAGGTCAGAGGACACCAGGTGCCAAGCTCCTACCCGCACGTGGGTCCAGGAGCTCCTCCCATCACCCCCCCTTCATGGAGAAGGGGCCCTGCAGTTGGTCTGAGCAGAGGGAGCCCAGACAGAGCCCACGGGGTTGATCCATGCACGTGCCCAACAAAGCCGTGTCACTGTGGGGGGCAGAGAACGTGGACCAGCTCCGCTCCTGCTCATACGGACTGCACCCTGCACGGCACCGCAGCACTGGCCTATGTCCTGGCTCTGGCGCTCACCTGACGCCCGTGCTCCTCTTGTCATTAGTAACTGAGCTGCCAGTCTATTGGCACCCCCGACACAGGGAGGACCACCTCATTCCACTTCTTCATAGGCCATGCCCACCTTGAGGAGCTTCTCTGGGGGTCTGTGCTCTTGTCCTAGTGACACGGTGCACCCATTTCTCCTCCCACTGCCACCTGATCCTGTGTCCCTAACGTCACATCTGCTCGTATTATTTCCTCAATTCAGAAAGGAAGCGCTTCGTCTTGCTAGTTAAACGCAGAGTGACAGAACACATTTAAAGCCCTTCCTACAGCATAGGACCAAAAATGTAATGAGAACTATCCTTCACGGAGGCAACATTTTTCTGTTTTCAGTGCCTGCTGCAGAATCAAATGCATTTTCCGGAGTATCTGTCAAGATTGTGAAGACAACTTCATTTGCTAGGCTGGGTACACAACATAAAGTATAGTCACAGCCTCAACTCCCAATGGAAACACGTGGAAATGTGTTGATGTTGGTACCTCACCAGAAATATTTTAATTTCACCAAGGAAATAAAACTTTCTACAAACAACAAAATGAAAAATGTCCAGGAGAAAAGCATGACTGTGACACAACACAATAGCCTTTTAAGCCATGACGCACACGTGTAGCTTCAGCATCATTTGAACCTTTGACTTAAAGACTCAGTGAAACCCACCCCACTATGTGGTTATTAATTATATAGCCAGGTGTTGTCATTCAGGTCTTAAAACATCCAAACACTATATCCAACCTCCAGAGCGAGCACTGAAGCCTTCTAACTAGGAAGCCTTGGGGACTCAGTAAAGGTATAACCCTGTGTTCCAGTGGTCATTGTACCTGCCTTCCACGGAAAATGGAAAGCTCTTCAGCACAGCACTACCTTGGTTATTTACTGTATATGATGACACAGCCATCCACGAAAGAGTATGTTTCCCCCTCCAGAAAAGACAAGCCCCACCACACCCACCAACTAGAATCTGAGAACAGCAAGTAGTTTCCTGTAAGGGGGTGGGCACTATGACACTCTGGAATCTGGGCTGTTTTAGGTAGGAGCTTGCAGAAATGTGAACATCACTCCCTCCCTTTGCATCCAACTTGGCCACACCACCCTCTGGAAGACATGGACCAGACCTGTTCATGTTTGCAAATGTGTCTTTTCAGTTGACTGGCCTCTCTAAGGCTACTTGTGAGCTGGGCTCAGGAGAAGGGTGTTCATTTTTGCAAACTGGACAGGTCAGAGGTGAAAATGTTATTGAAATTCCACAATCTGGGACAGCAATCAGCTATCTGAGCCTCAGATTCACTAAGCTTCCTTTAGGAGATGTTGGATCAGAGGAAGAATGACCAGAATCTGTCTTTGGTCAGATTTAGCATCCATCTTTCCCCCCTGTCCTATAGCTATCTGGGCAAAGCCCAGGTCATATCATGAATCCACAGGTCACTGTCACACAAGGTCATCTCCTAACCTGCCGTTTGCACATACCTCACACTCCTCCCCTCATTCATCATCATTCACATTCATTCTCTCTCAGCAAGATCACAGACAAGCCTTCACTTTGGTAATTACCATCACTGAGAACACAAAACAATGCTGGGCATTTTCCCCTGGAAAAAAAGCAAAAGACTATTTCACACTGAACCTTACCCATACCAACAAGACCCAGTTTAAGACACATGATGGTAAGAGGGACATAAAAGGAAAAAATTCTGTATCAACCTGTATCAGGATAGCAGAGATGACCGGGTGTGTGATTCATTTGCACAGTTGTTTCTGACAGCTTGCCAACCTCTGCAGTTCCCTTTTTGTAGTCTCAGCATCTTTTCCTCACTCCTTCTCCACCTGCTTTCTCCAACACTGCAACCATAGACTGCCCTTCCTAGCCCTCTTTCCGCCGGTCTCCACCAGGACATCATTTCCCTACACACCTGCCTCCCACCAGGGCTCTGGGCTTATCAAGGGTTCTACACCCTTGAATGCATGGACACTAGTTAGAACCAGAGGTTCCTGAAACCACATTCCCCCTCCAGAAGTCTGGGCAGTTGTAGGGACCAGAGGCTGGCTGGGTCACGAGAGAACAGCACTGGCACAGCAAGGCTCACAGCCACCAGGAAACAACACGTAGACACAGACACACTGCACGCACACAGACAAGCTTACACACACACACACACACACACACTTACACACACACACGCTTACACACACACACGCACTAGGAGGTGATGGATGTTACTGAGATGGACCAAAAACCAACAAGCAGTGGGGTAAGAAATAAACAGAAACAAAACAAAGCACTTGCGTTCAGATGGAAAGCTGTTTCGTGGGCCGCCAGGGCCCGAGCCCAGGGCCGGGGGAAGGTGGGTGCCTGCTCGGAGGACGCTGCTGCTGGAGAAACCCAGGGGAGACAGGGCGTGGGGCAGCTTTGGCTCCCCTCCCGTGAGGGGTGTGTCTTGGCCGCTGTCCTGGGGGGTCCCACCGCATGGGCTGGGCTGCGGTGGGCATGGATGAGGGGGCACAGAGGGTGTGGGGAGGGAGAGGCACTTACCTGGTGGCCCAGAAATGGCTAGTCCACCTTTGGGGGAGTGTGCAGTATCTCAGTTTAAACAAAATCCTGGTGGTAACTGCTCAACCATGAATAGTCAGCTCTCTAGTGTTTCAATAAAGCTTGTAAAATTGTTAGTGAAAAAGAGAAAAAGACAAAAACAACAATTCACCTGTAGGGCAATTGTGCTGTTCTTCGCGGGGTATTTTCCCACCAGTCCTTGTTCTTTCCGTTTCTTGAATTTCCTAAAGTAGTCCTGTATCAGGAAAGTGGCATAGAACTTCCCCACGGTTACCTCATCATCTAAACGGAGAGACCAGACAGAGCTCTCCCGAATCAGCACGTTTGCACCAAGAGCCTCAACACTCGCTTTGGGCAGGGAGGGGGCGGGGGCACTGAGCTCTCAGCTTAGGACACGGGAAACTAAATCTAGCGAAAAGCAAGATTGTGCAAAGCAGTTAAGCCTCAAAATTAGAGTCAGTTACATGAACTGATACTCAAAATTGCAGAAAATAATGGACTTGTCATGAGTTTTATATAGCAGCGTATTAGTAACACCATGAAGTGCCGTCTCGGTTATTGACTCAAAAGAAAAATTACAGAACAAAAAAGGGCTTCATGGGTCATATTTTCACCCTGTGCATAGGGATTTGCATGTGTAATTACCGCAAACACCAAGGACAATTAACCATCCAAACCCCAATGCCTGGAGAGAAAGATAGAGAACTCAGAAAGGTGACAGAAAAGCTCGGAAGGAGAGGCCGATTCCGAACAGTGACTGCAGACCCAGATTTCCAAGTGCCCCCTTAATCTCTGCCAATAGCCTCCACATGCCATGTGTCCGTTCGTAATTCAGAACTGCTTGTTTTCGATACTGCAAGCTACAGCTCCAACTCACCTCAGAGCTGGCTGCCTTATCTCTGTTCAGAAACAGCCCCACCGTGCGTGGCCGGGGAGCTGGGACTCCGCTGAGCCTGATTAAAGGTGATGCATGAGGCAGAATAGTGGCTCTTGCTGTCTCCCAGGAAACCACCCTGGCAGTGCCAGTGTGCCCGGGGTCTCCACGAGGCCTGCTCTCCCAAGGTGCTCACCCCCACAACCTGCCCAGGGTGCCCAGGGTGCCCACGAGGCTGGTGGCCAGTGCCCATGGCTTGCCGAGGCTGGAGGAGAATGGCTGCAACCCTCAGGCTTTAGCGCTGCCCAATCTGTGGCCAGGCTGCCCTCGCGACTCACATGCCATCTAGGGTAGACTATCTGGCCTCTCTGGGCTTGGGTTCTCACCCACAAGTGAGCCTAAGTATCTCAGGAGGAGCTGTGAGGATTCCAGGACAAGAGGCCTGTAGAACGCTCTGGGTGGTCTAAGTGCCAGGGGGCAGGTGACAATGGGCCATTGCCATCAGAATCATTGTTATCTAACCACTCGCCAACAGTGGCATCTATTGAAACAGGATGAGAACCATGACAGGGTGCAGGATACTGGAACCCTCAGGTGAGCTGCACCCGAGTGGGGTGCGTTTCCTGCCCGGGTGGGAGCGGGTGTCCGTGACTGGACACTGCTGGGCCACTCTGGGCTGCCCGCCCCCACCTTCCTAGTCAGAAGATGCTCAGTGTTACTGGGTGAGAGGATGCCTGGGGGTAGTCGGCCTGGAGAAGCGTGTCACATTCCTTCTAAACCCAAGCCAGGCAAGTCCTAGAGCAGCACGGGGGACGCCCCAGTGAACCTCGGCCTTTGGGCAGCAATGAAACCAGGGCCCTCATCGGTCTAGGGCTGGTCCAAATGGTCTAACAAGGCCCTGTGCAGATGCAGGGAAGTGAGAGGCGAGTGGACAGAGGTTCCATGACTTGCTCCAGGCCAGGTGAGCTGGGAGGTGGGCCCCCCAGACCTGGGTTCTCATTGTCCACCCCACTGCCTCCCTGAGGGATGGCCCAGCTCCACCACAAGAGCCACCTGGTCCTGTGGGGCTGCCTCTCTCCAGCAAAGTCCACCTCTCCACCAGGCCACATGCAGGAGGTGGGCCAATTGTGGCCCGACAATTCCAGGGTCAGCCGGCCTCTGCAAGACCGGGTCCCCAGTCTCCCCTGTGGGCTGCCACAGAAACACCAGCCATACTCACAGGAGGGCCATCTCATCCCTCACTGGAGTGCTTCCAACAAAAGCTGGCCTAACTGTTCTCCCCCTTCAGCCTGGATGGTGCTAGCCTAGAGGGCCCAACGGGGCTCCTATGGGAGAGTCCTGGCTCTCCCTGGCCCAGAACCTGGGTGGGTAGTGGGCGGTGGGGGGGGGGAGTGTACTCAATGAAGAGGGTTGATCATGTTCCTGCCCAAGGGGCAGCTACAGGGCAGAGGTGCCCACCTAGGGCTCTGAAGGCAGGGCCTCCAAGGGCCACCTGACCTTCTGCACTGAGATGCTGACCTACTGAGACTGGGCCCAGGAAGAGTCTCAAGAACAGCAAAAGTCAAAGCTCCAGTAGGACAGAGAGGGAAGGAAGAGGAGTGAGTGCAGGGAGGCCGTCTGGGCTCGGGACTTCAGAGAGCAATGGGGTCACAGCTCTGAACGCTCCTCAGGAGAAAGGAGCCAAAGATTCAGGTCCAGGTGCGAACGTCCGAAGACAGAGAGGAGCCCCTGGGAGGACAGGGCAAGAGCCATGACTCGGCAGGAGACCACGGCGGAGCTGAGAACACGAGCAAGATCCAGATGGGACATGAGACAGCTCAGCATGCTGAGCGCGGACAGGCTGTCCCACAGCCAGAGGCAGCACTGGAGCCCGGCATTCTGGCCCGCCTCCCAGGCTCACTCCTGAGCATCACCTCATCAAGCTCACGATGAGCTGGGGGCGCCTCACATCACCCCTGTGCTGGTGAGGCCTTTTAAGATGGGCGCCGACTCTGCTCTCTCACCGGGGCTGTAAGGGCCGCCCGAGCGCCCCACAGAAGACCAGTCCCAGGTGCAGGGCTGGCCTGGCTCAGTCTGCTGCCCTCTGGCCAGATTACCGAGGGTGGACACCGAGCCCCTCCACCATGGGAGTACCCATGCGCTGGCCCAGAGGGTCATAAATATATTCCCCTTTTCTAAGTGCTCCATGGGGTGGGAACAGCTCATCCACTGCAAGGTAAAAGAGGAAAGACAAAGAGGCAAACGGTGAACAGAGATACTACAACCCTGCCCAGCAACTCAACCAGAGCCTGTGCCCTAAAGCCTGAAGTCTCCACCATTGGAAATTCAGTGACAAGAGCCCTTATTTGAGATCACCCTGGATAAGCTCTATGCTGGGTCATCCACCACCTGGGCCATAGAACTTCTTGAGCATCCCATCCCTACTAAGGTGCTGTTTCCTTTCCAGGTTTTCCGGGGCTCTGACTGCCATTTCGGAAGAGATTAACCCTTGTCACCCTAACCCCCAATCCACATTAAGAAATGCAGAGAGAAAAGCAGGGCCCACTATTGGGCCAGGAAAGAGGAAGACTATGTAGCCTTCATGAAAAGCCTAGTAGGGCTACAAGCTGATCAAAGGAAGAGAGGCAAATTCCAGATCCTTTTTTTTTTCCCTTGGTGAAATAGAAACAAATGACGTTTCACAGTAATGTGAATGACTCTCCCCAGGTGAGCCTTGCCAGGATGGCACTGATGTGAGAGACTGGGCTGTAGGGAGGGTGGCGTATCAAGAGAGGCGAGAGGAGCAGGGAGCCTGCGAGGAAGGTTCCCCCGAGACAGGTATGGCCCACTATTCTGAAGCATGCATCTGCATCGTGAGAAATATGTAGGGGAATACAGTTGGCAAGAGATAACTCCGATTCCATGCCACCACCCTAAAACAGAATTGCTTCAGAATATTCTGAAAGACTGAGACTCGAAAGGAATGGAGGCTGCAGAAAAAGCTCAAGCACATTGTTACAACGATTTAAGAAAAGCAATTCGTCTCAGCCATGCGAACACCTGGGTGTGCAGCTAAAAAGAAAAGAACGGAAACCAAAGAGCTGTTTTAAACGTGCAGGATCAGTTCTCCTGTGGGGGGCCAGGCACTTCTCTCTGGGTGGGAGTTTTTGTTTGGTTCTGTTGGTGTTTTGTTTTGCACACTTTCCCTTAATCATTTCTTGGTGTGTCCTCTTTCCTAGCTCTGAGCTGTTGGCCCTGCCAATTCTGGGTGGCTCCCTCCAGCGACAAGAGCTCACAGTGCTTCTGGCTTCATGTGGAGAGCAGAGCTGGCCAGCAAGCTGCACTATCCCCCAGAATCCAGAGGTTGTCACTTTCTCAAAAGGAGAGGCCACTGTCCTGTCCTGGGGTTCCAGACTCAGCTTCCAGACCTGAGCCAGCCCCATTGGGAATGATGCGGTTCAGTTTGTTACAAAACACACCAAACATTTCTAACACACCCAGGGCTGAGGGGGTAGAGGCCGGGTGTGTTGGCACCAAGCAGACGGATCCTGCACCTTTAAAACTCGAAAATGAAGGTCAAAACACAACCACCTCCACTTTTAAGTCAATGTGTACTTGAACAAAAATGGAAAAACAGTATCTGGATTATATATATATGTGTGATATATATATAAGTCTGAGAAAAGTTTAGTCAGTTATTTTTATGATAAACAACAAAAAGAAATAAGCATGCCTGTTAGTTCCATCTCTACTCTAAATTCTAATTAAAGGGACGTTTGGGTAATAGATCTAGTCTTAGAACATTTCACAAACACCATTTTTCAAAAGCTTTTTTTTGTGTGTGAGAAGTTTTCAACAACATGTTGAAGGATATATGGAAACTAGTTTTAAGTACTTCATTTTGGGCAAAACACCACCCCCTGCCCGCCCCCCCCCCCCAAAAATACAGGCTTTTGGTTTTGAGGCCACAAGCTTGTTCTCCTAACATGACTTCCTCCACCCACAAGAGAACCCCTGCTTCAGCCATCTGGGTGTCTCAGTTTCCTTCTCACTGAAACCTCTCCTTTGTCTGGAATGGTCTTCATGTTACCCCAAATCATTACACTGCTGGCCATAAGGGCCTTCTTTAGCTTCTGGCCTCAATGTTCTGGCTGGTACCTCAAAAGCCTTCTGCAAGCACGCTGGGACTCCTGAAGACTAGCACTGAAACCAATATGTTGGCCAAGAGCTACTTAGGAAAGAAACTGCACTGACCACCAGCTGGAGGGACAACTTGGTCAAGCAGTTTCATGCTGGTTTTCTTCCAAATTTTCTTGATCACAGCTCGGAGTTCTTCATTTGCTTGTTCCAGGTTCCCTGGATTCAAAATGCAAGAGAGGCAAATGAGCCTTGTTTCTTTTCCCCTGCAAAGCCTCTCTGTTCTCACCAGAGGCATGAGTCACCTCTCAGCTTTCTGGGACAAAGTGATACATGAAGGGAGGAGAGAAGGGTGGAGGAGGCTGGCCTGGCCAGTGGGCCCAGCACAGACATCCTGATGACATGCACCACCCCGCTCCCCTGGGGGCCTTCTGACAAGAAGAGGTCCACGTGAGAATCAAGGTGGGATATGGCTTCCCCTTCCTCTTCTCCCACCTGTCCTGCTTCCAGGGAGGGCTCACCTTCAGTCTTGATTTTAAGAGCCGTTCGAACCAGAGCAAACAGAGTTGCATTAAACATGACTGTCCCATCACTGTTGAGTGGCATGTTCATAGCAACCAGTCTCTGTAAACAGAAAGAAAAGTCCCTTGATAGAATGCAAACAACTGATGACAGCTGCAGTCCATTCCATTTATTTTCTGTTTATTCTCTCCATCTCCTTCCTAATGGTTCCTTGATTCAACTTAATGGCCATCGACATTCAACAAATGGCACCTACCATTTGAGGGGCTCTGAGCCGACAAAGCACAAATGCTGGCACTCAGAAGATAGGTTTTGTCTTTTAAAAACTGTTTAGCCCCCTACTGTTTATGCATTCCTCTCCCCTTCTCATCAGCTGGCTCCCCTGTGTTTTGGGTCAAGCCTCCACTCTGAACACATCTTTAAGGCTGTTTGGGGGTAAAATGATATACCAGGCATGTTGAGCCAGCCACAGAGTCTGAGACAAAGGTCCTCAACCAATGAAGTCCGTTCCTTTTCCTAACTTGGGGAGTGTCCTTCAAGGACCGTGCCCTGGAGAGACCACTGTGGAGTGTTCTGTACAAGTTCATGTGGTTCCTCTGAGGGTTTGGCCTTACAGAGCTGGATTCCCCAATGTGCTGCTCCTGTCTTCTCTCTCTTTACCCCTGTAACACCAGCCCTGAGAGCCGGAGAGGACGAAGATGAGAGAAAACACCCTCTCTGGCCTCAGCTGATGCAGATGACACACCCACAGCCAAGTGCTGTGCAAGGGTTAAAGGATATCATAGACACTAAGGGCATAGACACTTCAGCTGGGTGCCTGGCAGGTGTAAGTGCTAAAAAAGCAGCACTTAGAATTACTAGTAGTGTCACATTTCTTACTTTCAGCTGACAAGGTGTCCCAAAAGAAAGATGTTAAAACCTTTTCCTCCTCCCTATCAATGGACTACCACCTTGTGTACACAGGATTCACCCTACCTGAATTCCTAGTCCTAGGACAGCCTGCACATTTACTTGGACTGCTGCTGCTGCTAAGTCGCTTCAGTCGTGTCTGACTCTGTGCGACCCCATAGACAGCAGACCACCAGGCTCCTCCGTCCCTGGGATTCTCCAGGCAAGAATACTGGAGTGGGTTGCCATTTCCTTCTCCAACGCATGCCTTTACTTGGACAGCCTGCACATTTACTTGCATCTCCAGGTAAATTTCTGAATCAGCAAACTGCTTTGTCCTTAGGGTACAAAGGAGTCCATTTTTACTTACACAGGTCCTTACTTAGATCCTTCACATAAAGGGGTCTGCAAATGCAAACATAAAACAATAGCCACGAGCTAGAACTCATCTTGTTCTTGGAAAGCAGAAAAGAGCCTGGTACTGTGAAATCTATGGGAAAAAGTCAACATCCATGGCTTATTCTCTGTGCCAACATCCAGAGTCCAGGATAAAGAGAAGCAAAGACTTGGGCAAGAAGCCCAAGGACTTGCCAATGGAGCTTTCTGGACTTCCAGGGCAGGGCATGATGAGTTTGGCTCAGATTTCTCTGAAAGCCTGAAATACACTGTAGACTTCACTCTTTACTGTGGTTCTGTCTGGAGCTAGCCTAGCACCCCTGTGAGGGTAAGGTGAACCCCTGACCCTGAATCCCATCAGATCTGTGGGAAGAAGGGACCAGGTGTTACACAGTCTGGCTGGATTTCTACACGACAGAGTTTCAACAGACAAACCCCCACATTTCTCCTCTAAAAAGAGGGGGGTCATTTTCTGTTTCTACATCTGACTCCAGGTGGTTTGACATGAACTCTACTGAAAAAAAACAGATCTTGAGGAGAGCTCGCGGGAGCATGGTCTGATGTGAAAACGTCAGGAATGGGGTGAGGTGGCGATAGGACTGGAGTGGGATAATTAAATACTTAGCTTAAAAATCCCACTAGGGCATTAAAGACAGAAAGGGAATTCTAAGCGAGCTTGGGAGACTGTTTTAAGCCTACAGCCACTCAAGAAGAGAATCCAGTAACCAAGCAACAATGTACATATGTAAAGTACCAGACAGTAGGTATGGGATCTGAGTCTTATTACACCAAGTCAAGGACTTCTGCATGTAGCCATGACAGGAATATAGATGAAAAGGGAAAGAAACTAGGTGAAAGGGGATATTATACCAACACCTGAGATCAATGACCTTGTTTTAGTGTATATTACCGCCCGTTTCTTAATAAACATATGATTTAAACACTGCCATGATGGTCCTGGTTACGCCATAAAAGGTTAAAAGAGGAACTAAGGGTGTAAGCCTTGATATCTACCTAAAAATGAGGAAGAAGGGGATCTTCTCTCCTCTACTTTTCCTTTGATTATAAAAATGTAAACCTCTCTGCTCTCGGGGCTGTGCTCCCTTGCCTGCCCTCTCTCTCACAAGCATCCAATGCTAATAAACTCACTCTTTGCCAACCACTCTGCCTCACACTGAATTCTTTCCACATTGAGACAAAAAAACCTGAGTTTCAGTGAGCCCAGGTGAGTGGTTTAAACTAAGAGACAGTGGGTTTGAGTCCCCTCCTAAGGCAGGGATTGTGGGTTCAAGTCTCAATCTGAGGTGCAGATGGGTTCAAGTCCCATCTGACAAAGAGTGTGGTTTTAGCAAGAGACTTGAGTCCACCCGAGAGGCCACTGCTCGATTGCCCACTCACTGGGAAGGGGGCTCTGGTGGCAGAGGGTCACCATGTACACCATCATACAAGCTAGGAGGTGTCCGGGTCACCAAGTCCTCTCCACCCTACTCCCTAAGCAGACCCCTACGCCAAGCCCTCCCCTCCATGCCCGCTCCCCTGCCCTCCCTCTGGCTCTTGACGTGTGTCACAGTGAGATAATGCAACAGCTCTCCTGGGTGTTCTCCTGTCCCCAGTTCACCCCTCTGTTGCCTGGAGTCAACTTTCTAGAACGGACGTCGACTCATGTTCCTTCCATGAGATTCAGCATGACATAGAAGGCTTCGCGCAGATACGCTCAGCTCGGGCCTCAGGCCTCCTGCCACCTTCTCTTGGGCTCCAGCCACACCAGCCACTTCCTGTTCTCCTGCCTCCCCGTCTGGGCTCTCTAGGCTCCCCTTCTGTGATGCCCTTTCCGCTCTGACAAACTCCTACTTCTCTCCTGCTGGACCTGACCCAAGTGTCCTCATTCCCTCCCTTCTCTCAACCAGTGACAAATTACATAATTCCCTTCCTAATCTTACCATTGGCTGAAACGGTGACTTGAGAGTTGTACATTCAAGAGCTTCTCAAGGACGGCAACCACATAACACTCATCTCAGCAGCCCCCAGCGCCTGACGGCAGGCTCCGTAGAACATAAGTTAATCAGTGCTGACTAGAGCGGGGAGTCCCTGACAAGGGGCCTTCAGGCACGCCAACAAGACTCTCACCTTGCAGGCTACCCGGTGTGGACACAGCTTCCCGAAGCCCAGGGGAGGCTGGATGCGGCGGAGCAGAGTGACCACGTCCAGGTGCTTGATCCTTCCCCTGGAGGCAAAGCACAGCGTGAGGGCAGGGCAGCACCACTCATCCGGGCTTGCGGGCCATCCCACCTTCCCCAAGGAGCACAGCCAACACCGAGAAACAGCTCATGCAAGCCAGACGGAATTCTTTCCCACTTACTTTGCCTCAGGGTCATACTCAGACCAGATCCGTTTGAATTCGTCTAAATGGTGAGGCCCCAGAATAGACCAGTCCCGGGTGAGATAATCAAAATTGTCCATGATGACAGCCACGAAGAGGTTGATGATCTGTAAAAGCCAGTTGGGGGGTAGTTTCAGGTGCAGTGAGATTAGCTGGGTTCAATCCTAGTGAGCGCTTCCTGATTATAAGGGTCACAAGACATTTGGACCCATTTCTTCCAGAGAGGTTGAAAAACTTTCATTCTAAAGAACCATTAAGAAAAAAGCAGGCTTCCAGCTTTCCCAAATGGCTTGGGTATAGTCCCGGGAGGTGAGCCGGAGTGAGGAGGGAGTAGGTATTGTCTGATCTTTTGAAACACACTGGAGTTTTATAATTTGCACCAAATAACTTGCTGTCTTAAGTCACTGCTATGTGCAGTGGCTTTGAGAATTTTATAAAAGAACCAGCAGCCCTAAGAAGCCGGAGTGGTATAGCCTGTTAGGGAGCACCAAAACCCCTACAGCAAAGGTGCTTATACTAACACAGGTCTCACTCGGCAGAAACCTCCACTGCCCAGTAGAGTCTGAGTGCTCATCAGCATAAGATACCCCACAGCTATTTGATGGGGCAATATCATTGGTCCGAATCCCAAATGCTACATGAATATCTGTCTATGAAAGGAGTGCAGGGGTGTGTGAGGCAGTTCTGATCACTTACCAGAAATGCACAGAGCATGTAAAAACTGATGAAATAAACGATGGCGAAGTTGCTCCCACATGTGTACTCCTCCCCAGGGTTGTAATCCGAGTCGGGGTCGCACTGCTTCCCCGGGAGGCAGGCTAGCATGATTTCCTGCCAGGCCTCCCCCGTCGCACACCTTTTTCGGATCAAGCAAAGAAAGAAAGAAGGCATATAAGGCTTAGACCTTCAAGAAATTTTAAGAAAAAAATATTTTTCAGTCAGATCAAAACCTAAGTAATTTGGGAGGAAGGCAGCTTGATTTAGTCAAAATTCCTAAACTGAAAATCCTATTTCTTTTTTTATTTTTTTGCAAAAGAGACACAGATGTATAGAACAGTCTTTTGGACTCTGTGGAGAGGGCAAGGGTGGGATGATATGGGAGAATGGCATTGAAACATGTAAATTATCACATGTGAAATGAATCACCAGTCCAGGTTCGATGCATGATACAAGGTGCTCAGGGCTGGTGCACTGGGATGACCCAGAGGGATGGGATGGGGAGGGGGGTTCAGGAAGGGGAACACATGTACACCCATGGCGGATTCATGTCAATGTATGGCAAAACCAATACAATATTGTAAAGTAAAAAAATAAATAAAACTGAAAAAAATATATTAGAATTCCTTTTAAAAATTAAAAAAAAAAAGAAAATCCTATTTATTTTCAAATGCAACTTGTATCAATCAGTAAGTGGAGGACCTGCCGCAACTCCCTTTGATAAGCATCAACCATTGGATACAAGCACATCAATTCTTTCTGTATAAAGGGATGTTTGTTTTGTTGTCTTCTCTCTTTTAAACACTTACACTATAATTTTTAAATGATTATTATTTTTAGCAACCTAACATCTGACAGCTTGATTAGATTCCCGTGTTCAATTCTGTTGAAAGAAAAGAACTGGAAACTAACTTACAAAGAACTTGCTCTCCAGTCACTAGAGTCAATAGGAATTACCTGTATGGTTTCTAGAAGTTCTCACACTTCAAGACACTCTGTTTACAAAGTTATTAAAAAGAGTTAAAAACAATCCCATACAGCTTGAGATTGTGCATCTCACAAGGCTCCCCACTAACTGTGCAAAAGGCCTCCATGTTCCTGCTAAATTTTCATTTTCCTGGTTGTTTGAGTGCATGCGCCCATGTGTGAGCACACACTCCATACCACCCCAGTGGCTCAGGAGACCTACTCATCCACTCCCAAGTGGAAAACCTTAAGCCAATCACAATGTGAATGACCAAAAGCCAGCAAAATTCCTGTGTGACTAAAATGCTACCATGTCCCTGTAAGAATACAAAACAAATACAAAAAACTCCTAGGACCCAACTGCTTTAAGAACCCGGGTCCTGTTTTGCTCTGGAGCCCAAAGCCAGAGACACCTGCTTGGGACTGGACTCACCTGAACAGCAGCAGCACCGCCTGGGGAAAGGTCTGGAAATTGTTGTTCCTGTTGATCTGGTTGTTATCTCTCATGGCCACTTTCCCAAACATCTAGAGACAGAAATTGTTAGGGGAAAAAGAAAAAATTTTAATCATATATAGAGAAAAAAAAAAAAAGCCCCCCACATGTGAATTTAGAACTCAAGTTCGGTCAATACCCAAAATGCCTGGCACTTGATTCATCCCACTGAGATGTGCTGGGCTCTGTTCTAACCACTGGGCACATCCTCAGCTCAGCAAGCTCCCACCCTGGGGAAGGGATGCAGAAATAACCAGACAGGCAGCCCTCACAATGGGAGTTCGGCTGGTCCAGCCCCACGGGATCCCCGAGGCTGGGGGCTGGGGCCAGGGAAGGCCTCCAGGAGGAGTGAGGTCAAGGACTGGACTGAAGGGTAAGGAGAAGCCAGTCAGGCGACAAGGAGGGCAAAGGGTGCTCCAGGCAGAGGGAGCACGGCCTGCAAAGGAGCAGAAGCAACATGGCCTGGGTACTCCCGGAAATGAAGCCAAAGTGAGTGTGACAGACAGACCGAAGACAGGCATGGGGGGCTGGTGGGCTTTGCTCTAAGGGCCAGAAGTTACTGAGTGCGTCACTCACAGAGATTATAGAAGCCGACTGACATTTAGGAAGAGCCTGACGCCCAGCAAAGATTCTTCAGTGAACATGGGGTGGTATGTGTGATGTGGTTTGCAGTTCTCTGTGACACTTAAGTTTTACATGAGGATGTTACAGCATAAAAGACCTTCCGGGGCCCAGAGCACCAAAAGCCACTGACATACAGGGGCTCAAACACACTGACTCTTCATTCAAAACCCCTGGTGATATGGAATCTAGAAAGGTGGAACTGATGGACCTATTTGCAGGGCAACAATGAAGACGCAGACCCAGAGAACAGACTTATGGACAAGGGCGGCGGGGGAGGGGGGGGCGGTGGTGGTGGAGGAAGGAGTGGGCGAGATGAATGCAGAGAGTAGCATGGAAGCATATACACTACCATACGTAAAACAGATGGCCAATGGGAATTTGCCGTATGACTCAGGGAACTCAAACCGGGGCTCTGTCACAACCTAGAGCAGTGGGAAAGGGTGGGATGTGGGAGGGAGGCTCAAGAGGGAGGGGGCACGTGTACAGCTATGACTAATTCGTGTTGATGTATGGCAGAAATCAAACCAAGATTGTAAAGCAATTATCCCTCAATTAAAAATAAACAAACAAGTAAAACCCCTGGTGAGTCCTGGTGACTTGCACGTGCTTCTCTGCTTTAAGAATACAAAAGTAGGGACCACCACTCTCTGCCACTGGAATACTTCTCCTCCTCCTCATCACAGCACTCCCTGACCTGAATCAGTGGACAGCAGGGCAGAGAGATCCCGGGGTGGGGGGTGTCCAGGACCACAGACTCCTCCACCTCTCTCTCCCCACAGAGGCTCTGCCCCCAACCCGGCCACTTCATGTTAGGGCTCAGTTGTTAGTGAGCTCCTATCCCCTCTTCACACCTCATGAGGGGCTGGAGAGCAGGCCCCAGGTCACAGAAGGGCTTGCTTCCATGCTTCTTTTTAGAAGGGCGCTTCTGAGGCAAGATAATGGTTCACTTCAGCCCCAGCATCTGAAATGCTTTCAGATGATAAACAGATTTTAGTATCACTCAGTATCCTCTTAGCAACGGTGGTGCAGAAAACAGGACAATTACGGCTTCTTTCAGTACTGCGCTCGCCGTGGCTACACTCAACTGTGGGTTTTCTCCACCAGTTGGCTCTCCTCAGACACAGATCGGGGGTGGGGAGTGCCCTAAACCCAGCTTCCCCTGACATGTTCTAACCTCCTCACGCCCTTCTAAGCCTGGGGCTCTCGCTGGTACAAGCCCTCTCCTGCAGGGCCAAGTCTTTCTCAACTTTATTGCTCTCTAGCAGCCAAGCCTGGCTCAAAAACCATGACCTGCCTTTCCAGTCCACCTGTCCCAAGAGCAGCATGCTGGGGCGATGCAGCAAAGAGATCCAGGGGAAAGGTGCTGGAGCGTACCTGCATGCCGATGACCGCGTAGATGAAGAAGAGCATGGCGATGAGAAGGGCGACATATGGGAGCGCCTGGAAGACAGGAAGCACTTGGGTCAGCATGAGCCTCCTGCCCCCTGGCACCTATGGCTCGGGGGGCGGGGAGGGGAGAAACTGAAGGCCTACATAGAGTACACCCTCTATTCTTTTCCATGCTATACGGAAAGGACATCAGTAGTGAGGAAGAGCTTTTAAACCCCAGCAGAACAGCACAGCTTCAGCCCCGAGGACACCAGCCCACACACCTTGGATTACGAAGCTGCAGGCATGATGTGCTGGCCACGGTCATCAACAGTGCGTCCTGCTCCCAAATAGTGTTACATCTCAGAATAATGCTTAAATTTACTGTTGGATTCCTTTGTGAAACTACTGTAATTGATAAAATGGTTCCAAACTGCTTGCTTCCTTCATTTGTGGGTGTGTTTGCAGCAGGGGCAAGCAGCTATTTTGCAAAGGAACATCTTTATGCAAAATCACCTTGTGTCTGCTGAAGTACTTCCTTAGAGTGAAGCGTTAGGAGTGGAATTACTGGGTCAAAAGGGAAGAACCACTTTCTGGCTGTGGCTATAGAAAGCAAGACACTTTTCTTAAAATGCACCCTTTTTGAAAGAAATGCAGAACTGAGGGCTGGGCCAGGGCAGAAAAGGAGCTAGCTGTGTGGTGGCCAAGCCTGGGCTCTCCTTAGGAACATCAAATAAAAGCACGGGTGTGAAGTCAGACAGACCCCTGGTCTTTTAAGCCAAGGCTCCTCAAATGCTTTTCTCCCTCATCTCAGGTGACAGAATATGTCCATGTGCTCAGCATGCCTCCAGGGAGTGCCCAGATTGTTAAGGCCAAGCTCACATGCATAAAGCCTCCACTTGTTCTCCTATCTGAGAAAGGTCATCAGAAAGCCAGTGGCTAAAAAACCTCCCGACTTATGCCAGGTCTGAGTCTGTGACTGCCAGCTTGGCCCAGAGTAGCTGCACCATCGTGACAGCTGGGCTGGTTAACAGCCCCACAGGGTTAGTTCCAGGCTGTCCTTGCCATACCAACATGCATTTTCTTCTAGATAAGTGTTGAAGAATTTCGTGGGCACAGCTTCTCAATTTTTACGGTTCGCTACTTGGTGACATGAATTGATCCATAGTGACCAAAACCTTTTTAAAAAGGACGGGTGACATTATTGCTTGAATCATTCTATCTTTATAGCAGCTCAGTCACAAACATCGGTGCTCTGTATTAATAACAACAGTCTAGGCTTTAATCCCTTTCCAGGACCAAAGCTCACCTGCCTGGAACCCCCACTGGCCCTGCCTCTCTCAGAGTCGCAGCCTGGCTCCTACCACAACCTCATTTTCCCCAACAGGACTTGTGAATTTCCTTCAAGTTTCTGGACTGACCTCCTTCCCCAAATGCACACCTTCTCCTCTTTACCTGTTAAAAATCTGCCTACTGTGGAAAAATGTCTCCTGAGATATTAACAACAGTTACTTGAGATGTGGGGGTGGGTTGTTCTCTGTGTATCTTTGGATAACTTCATTTGTTAATGTGAGCATTTATAGCTTTTGAATTAAAAACTGTCAAAAGATAAAGAAATGATGAGCCATGACTTATTTTCTAATGTTTGTGTGCATCTACAAGCTCCCCAAGTGGTGTACCTCTGAATGAGATTCTGGGCCCTTCACGATGGAGTGAGTCTGAAAGACTGGAACATCTGGTGTGGGGTGCCAGACGGTACAGGAGAAGCTGGGCTCTGTTTGGCACAGCCGGGAGAGTACTGCTGACAAAGGGCACTTGGCTTCTACCTAGATGCCCTTCACGATGCAATCCTGCCAGGCAGAGGACAGCCCAGGATGGGGGACGGTGTGCTGGCCCAGGCCAGTTGGTCTCTGACTTTGTATCTATCAACAGATCAGCCACCGGACTGGACTGTGGCATCCTTACGAGGCTTCCAGGGATCGGAAGCCTCCGATCCTCTGACCCTCCCTCTCTCAGACGTCAGCATTCACCCCGAGCATCCTGGGGAGGACAGAGGGGCATGGAGCCCCGTATCTCTATCAGCCTTGGAAATGCTGCAGAGATCTCAGCTCTGGGTCCTTACTGCTCTTTCTTCTGCTTCCTTAAGCAAGTCATCCTAAGTGATTTTCCCAAGCAATGCTGGACAGGTCTCTTCTGTGTTCTATGTCCTCCACGGACCTTGATGGTCACAGTGGTGCTGCAGAAGGGAGGGTGGATCCACCATGACAGGGGACAACCACCGACTTACACATGATCTTCAAAGACAAAGAAGCCCTCGGCATGGCTCTTACCTGGAAGGACTTAATAAAAGTCCACAGCAGTGTCCGGATGCCTTCCCCCCTGCTGAGAAGCTTCACCAATCGCATCACTCGGAAAAGACGGAAAAAGGTGATGGAGATTCTATTGCTCTCTTCAGAGTTCTGAAGGGTTATCATGGAGAGGTCAAACCCAATGGAAAGTAGAACATGCAACACTTTCAGAAAAACAGCAACAGATGCACACAGAGGTGGCAGAGGTAAGAATTAAAGATGTGTTTCTAGGGCCTTTGCACCTTACAAAGCATGATATGAAAGGAGAAGTTACATGCTAACAACACAGGGCTTTGGAAAACTGCGTCCACACAGCACATGCATGTCCACGTGGTCTAGAGTGTTAAGAGGAGGACGCTGGGCTGGTCAAGAGTACTGGACACTGATGATGAATGCAAACCACTGCAGACACTGTTCTGGAAGGCCAATCATGGAGAATACAAAACAACTAGTGGAGGACTCAACATGGCCCAATAAACTCAAGGGAAAGGCCCAGCCCCCTGGGGACTAGTCACTGATCTTACCCCAGGTGTAGCGGTTGGGACAGGGACATTTTCACTTTCAGTTGGCTTTAAGAAATCAAAGATTGAAAATGCATTAATGAACTGGGAAGGAAGCTGGGGTTCAGGAGAATGGCCCCTCCCCACTTTTAAACATTCTGTGGTTTGTGTCTCAGGAGAACCCACGTGCTCTCTCCCTGAGGAAATGTCACGGCACTGCCTGGAGCTGGACTTGAGGGCGGGCGGCCACTGACGCAAGCTCGGACACACTACTTGCCAATCCACACCCCAGGATGTGATGGTCTAAGTGGCTGACAGAAATCCAGTAGAAGATAATGCTGCAAGACTTCAGGCGTCCCCACACGCAGAAATGCAGGGTGGGATTCTATTTTCTTAGTCGGGGTTGTGCGTCTGAGGAACGAACTGCTCTGAGGGAAGCCATTCCTAACCCTGGGGAACAGGATGACTCTGCCAAGCAGGGAAAACTGAGTGGAAGCTGGCTGTGGTGCTCAAACCTCTCACACTCCACTCTGCACCCAGAGAGCTGGGCGGGGCTGAGTCAGAGCACACAGGAGGTGGGTTGGCTACCCCCTGAAGCTGTCACGGCCCCGCTGGGAAGGCTCGGCTCTAGACGACTCCTGGGAAGCAGCAGCCTAGCACCAGCGCGCCCTGGGCTGCTTCAGCACTGCTTCTGGCTGGGCTCCGGTCCCCAGGGTGCAGAACCCCAGCCCTTACTGCCCTGTGCTCACCTGCCTCCCCACTCAGGCTGCGAGCCCCCAGGGGCGGGGACCTCACCTCACTCCAGTCAGTGCCCAGCACAGCGTCTGGCACTTATCAGAGGTTCAGTAAGTGACTATGAGAATGCAAAGAGGTTGTAAGCCAACTCACAGATATCAGGAGGCATCTTCAAATTCAACAACAATGGCTGAACAAGAGTTGGGAAGTGCCAGCCTCCCCTCCAGTGGGGTCCCCTCTGCTGAAGCGGCCAGGCCATCCAGCAGCCAGCACAGGAAGGGGGCTCTTCTGGTTGGGGGGCCATGAACTGCTGGGCGCTCTCCAGGCCTCTAGGGAGCCTCTCTGCACGGCATGTCCGTACAGATAAGGGATGTGCGTGCACGCCTGGATGCACACAACAATCAGATGGGTTCTCCTCCCTGGAGATACCGGGAGAGGAAAAACTCCATTCTGAAGGCTCACTCTTGTTTACAGCTGCCTCCTAAGACCAAAACTAAAGCTCTGTAAAATTCATAAAATATAAGGTACTTGGGCACGACACCTCATAACTGAAATTCAGCAATAAGATCATGAAGCCAGGACTAACAGGTTCTGGTGGGGTTAGGAAGGGGTCCCTGCTTCAGTTGGGATGCTCTTTTTATATTCCTTCTATTATCTCACCTCAAAAGAGACTGTATCTTCTTAAAGGGACAGATGATGTTTTTTTAAATCATGACTTTAATAATTGAAGGTCTTCATTTACCAAAGTTCTCCTGCTTTCCCACACCATCTCCCTCAGGGCTATGTGCAGGGGGCTCCAGTCTCACCCACATAGCTGGACTGTGAGGTGGTGTGTGCATGTGTATGTGTGCTCAAGGAGACCAGAGTGTGCACAAGACAACACTCTGTGGTATACTTTTGCAATGTCGTGTTAGACCTGCAAGAGAAAAAAAGGCTGGTGGTCGAGGACCACACTGATTTTGGCCATGACCTGGCTCAAGCCTCTCCAGGAGAGACCTGGCTGACCCCTCCCTAGCCTGCTCCAGAAATGACAGCTTGTACATCCCGCTGATGACATGGCAAAGTTAGCTGCCAAACGGACTTCTGAAGTGTACATCTCTTTTTCAACTGCTGTCTCTGAAGTATGCCAGATCTTGGGCTACGAACATGAAACCATGGGTAGTCTTGTTCAAAAAAAAAAAAAACAAAGAGGAAGAGAGAGCATTTGTGGAGGGACAAGGCAGCATGACATGCAAGAATGGAAGCACAGGGCAAACGGCACACCAGGTTGCATGCATCGCCAGGGCAGCCTGGGACACCCCTCCCCGGCCCCCACATGCTATGCTGGGCAGGGAGGATGTCACTGGTAGCACTCGGGGAAAAGCGCAAGTTGCCAAAATATCTTACAAACTGAGGGATCCTGAGGACGGCTTTCCTAAACTGCAAATGCCAGCCTGATGAAAAGGGCAGGCCAGCTCTCACCCTGGGCTACCCACAGGAACTGTCTGAGGATCTTTAACACTCTGATGCCTGGGTCCTACTCCAAAGATTCTTATTTAAAGGACCTGGAGTATGCCCAAGCTTTGGGTATTTTTAAAAGCTCCCAGTGGTTCCAACTCAGCCTGTCACTCACAACAGCTCATTCCCCTTAGATCTGGAGCAGCCACACAGAATGGGGCCACCAGAAAAGCCCCACACAGGCTGTTACAGCTAAGCAATGGGTTCTTCTGGGGTTGATGAGGGTTCAGTACTCAGATGGATGCAAATGGAGTACGGCCATCCCCATCTTCTTTACGAGGGATGGAGGAGGCTCACAAACCCAGGGAGCTAGTGAAGGGTATAGATGGACCATGAGCAAGACACTGCTCTGCCAGACTCCTGGGATCGACCACAGGATACCCCTAGAGGCCAGGACACTAGGGAAGGTCTCACTCCCCAGGGAGCTTCTACAGACAGCACTGAGGGCTACATGATCAGTTTTCAATCAAGGGATTTCCAGTGTCATCCTGGGACCTGGGCTAGATGACCTTGGTAGCTCCTTCCTGAGATGCCAGTCTTTGTTCTGAAACCCTACAGGAGGATGGACCAAACTATACACCAAGGGTCCGGAAAGCCCCTTCCCACAGGGCTCCTAAGCAGGCTCTTGAGATGTAGGCTCCAGGCTAACCCCCTGCAGCTACAGGAGTCAAATGAGCCCCAAGTTCCCCAAGTGCACACGGAGCAGTCTGCATTTATGCATCAAGTCTCATCTTTTCCTGAGAAAACGGAAAGGATGCCATTTTCCAATCCAGACAGGAAGCAAGCCAGCATCTCAGCAAACCAGTCGCCCTGAGGCATCCTGGGGAATTCCTATGGGGAGCCTCTGACTTCTGACCTGACCGGTAACACCTCTGGCACGGAAGCCTTCTGTATTGGGGATTGCTGAGTCTGTCTCCAGAAACCAGCTACCTGGTCCCTGGAAAAGGGTGAGCATACAGCACGGAGGGCTGAGCAGCCCGACTGTGGATTCGGAACAAGAGACTGAGGGTAGCTATGGCCACCTGGTCCACCTGGGTCCATGACAAGGCAACAACAGTTCTGAGGTCCCTGGGAGTGAGCGCCCTCTGTTGCTCCTGAGTCCCAACAATGCAGACACGGCTTCTAAATACGTGTGCTGCCTCCCCAGCAGCACTGATAAAGGTGAAGTCTCAATGTCAGCGACAGGGGTTACGGAGAATATGAGGCTGGGCCATTTCTCCACTCAAGGAACAAACAGGCATCAAAGAAGAAGCAAAAATGAGCCCACCAGTCCTCATCTGACATTTTAGCAGCTTGATGATGTGATGACCAACTGTGATGAAGACAAGTCCATGAGAGCTGTCAAACCACGACTGTGGCTGGGTGGGTGCTGGGGAGGAGGGAGCAGGATGAAGAGGGCTGGGTGAGCATGCAAGCAGGACAATGGAAAGGGCCATCCAAACTGTTTTCACAAAGAACACAAATGCAGGCTTGATTGCTCATTTCCGGGTCAGATCAATTCATTCCTGTGACTATGCTGGCCTGTCACAGAGCCAAGTGTGACTGACCAAGATGGCCCCAGCTCAGGTGCCAGGCTGGAGACACAAAATAGGGCACAGCAAACAATTTAGATGACCACGACCCACAGCACTCCTGTGAAATTCAGCGAAAACCAAAGGTGGGGAAGCCAAAGACAAGAATACAGTCTTTTGAGTGCTTTTGCTTTAACGACTTCACCGTATATATGTTTATATATACTTGCCGCTACAATTTTCTAAAAACAAAACCAACATGAAAATCAATTAGGCAACAGAAAAGATCAACAGAAGTTGGGAGAGAGAGCACAGCAAATTAAACATTGCAAAAAATGACTTATGGCAGCTAAAAACAGCCAACGATGGACCAAGAATATTCATGCTCAGCTGAGTCAGGAGTGCAAGGGACAGGCCACCAGGGAAATCTTGTGTGCTGCTTCCCTGCAGAAATCGGTGTGGGAGAGGGCGGGGTGGAGGAGCCATTGGTTACACTGGGAGAGTTATGTCACCAGAGGTTTAGGACACCTAGTCTCTCTTGTCTCTGTGCTGTGGCCTGCGGGTCACAGACGCCCAGTAAAGATGTGATGAAGGACTGAGTGAATGAGAAGGTGGCCGTGAGCATCCCTTCTACATGGAGGCCCAGCACAGAAACGCTAAGGCCCCCTAAGGTCTCCTACTGGCCCAGGGTGTTGAGCTGGCACTGCTCCCGGCTCAGGGAGGTTTGGTCTTAGGCTCCATCTGACCAGGGGAAAGGTCACAGTTGCTGAAAAACAGCACAAGGATGTTGACCGGTGTGATTTTTGAAAGCCTGATGGAATGTCAATGAAAGCCTGTACTGCACAGACACCCCAGAGTCAAATGATAACTACAAAATTGTCTGTGGGCTTTTACAGACCTGTGGCTTTCCTGACCAATGCAAGGTGAAGGAGGACACGTCCGAGACACCACTGAGCAGGGCTGAACCAGAGGGAAGGTGCAGTGGGCTCAGCCCCAACACGCAGTGAGGCAGCCAGGAAGCTGCGTATGCTTCTGGGGTACACCAGAGCGGGGGTCAGGCGTTAGAGAGTCGGGGTGTCCACCTGCTGCACAAACCCTGGCCACATCCTGGTGCACAGAAACTAAGTATGAACTCCACCACCTGCACGACAGCACTCCAAGGAGAGCTGCTCAAAGTATCATTTATGATATTCTCACTTGCGTTAGAGACCACCTCTGACTTAAAGGTCTGGTTCCAGAATGTTCACCTAAGTTTCCTTTGATGGAGGCTGTAAGTGCTGTATGTGGTGAGATGATTAGGCAGGCAGATGTCTGGTTGTAAACTGAGAAGAGAGCCCAGGGCCACCCAAGGAGGGTCCTGCTGTTCTCCCAGCATCAGATTATTTTTATAACCAAGCATAATTTACACATTAGGAATGGCAATTTTATACCTGACTCGGGGAGTATTTCGCATAAAGTGGAATTTATAGACATCTAGGCTTATGGAGGTTGGCGGATCAGTGTACCTAAGTCTAGCAACATAACATTTCAGTACCTGGTCATGGCATGAAGTCGAGTGTCCCAAGGCTTAACTCACATCCTCAAGGACACGGTAATGTCTTACAGTTCATTTCACTTATTATTACAAGGAAAACCTATATTTAAAGTAATGATGCTGTATCTCCCTAACACTTTGGGGTTTTTTAGCAAGTACATTCATAAATAACTCCTATCACTTTATCATTGCAATGTACCTACAAAGCAGGGAGGGCAGACATCATTCACCCTGGTGGGTCCATGAGGGAACTGAGGCCCAGGCCCAGTGGTCCACTACTCTATACTCCACTATCAGCCTGGCCCCCAAAGTGGTGGCATACAGAGATCTCCTTCTCCTTATTTGATACAGGCTGTCTGGGCACCAGGATGGACCATACAATCCCACAGATGTCAGCCAGGCAAAGCGTGGCAACCTGTTCCCAGCCAGGCGTCGGGGGCAGAGGGCCAGGCTGGCACAGTGGAGCAGGAAGCCTCACACAGCACACAGAAACCCACCCCATGCTCCACCCATCCCTGCAAAGGGCGCCACACAACCGGGGCACACACGCTTGACACCCACAGAGGTCTGCTGATGCACTGCGGCCAGACTAGGTGGGCAGGACCGGTTCTGCCCGCAACAGGCCCTCCTGGTCGAGGCATGGGTCAGATCCCAGAGGGGCCGGTGGGAGGTGGTGCTGCCCTTTTTTGGAGCCTTTGAGTTTTGAGGAGGGTTCTCCGGATGTTTCCTAAAGGGTGGCAGGGTGTCACTCCAGCTACCTCACTGCTCCCCAACACGGGATTCAACTGGGCGCAATACAGGAGCGCTGGCACCCTCTCCTGATACACTCAGGGCCCCCCGTGCCCGGCCTGGGGCAGCCTTCTATCTGCATCACTACTTGGGGAGCTAGGACGGGGACGTTCTCCAGCGTCACCAGCAGGCCAGGGTACAGGTGAGGATACCTAGGGCACGGCTGTGCGGTTTCTCTCCTGTACTTCCACAGAACCACGGTGGGCACCAGGGCTCACATGATGAACTCTGTTTTCCAGCTGGAAAAACTGAGGCATTAAACAGCCAGGGGCCTTGCCAAGGTCAGACAGCTACTGGGTGGCGGTGCTCACATACCCACACCATTAACTCCCAGCCCTTGGCATCTTAAGAAGGTCTTTAATAATCATGTTTTCATTCCAAAATGGCAATTCCACATTTACTTCCCCACTGTCATTCAGGGAAAGGGGATGGGGGGTGGGAGGGAAAATAGTCTTTTGGAACAAAAGTGGAAGTCGCTCACTTGTGTCTGACTCTTTGCGACCCCACAGACTATACAGTCCATGGAATTTTCCAGGCCAGAATACTGGAGTGGGTAGCCGTTCCCTTCTGGGGAACGGGGGGATCTTCCCAACTCGGGGATCAAACTGGGGTTTCCTGCATTGCAGGCAGACTCTGTACCACCTGAACTACCAAGGAAGCCCTTGGAACAAATGTGTGCGTGAATTTCTAAACGTGTATAGAGGTGCGTGGGGAGGGTTTCTGGTCTCTTCCACATTAGACTTAATGAAAACAATTAGGTTTATAGGACACAAAGTTTGCTACTTACATTCACTTCAGTTATAGCAATATCAACGACGCTACCAACAACAATTAAGGCATCAAAAGTGTTCCATGCATCAGTGAAATAGTGCTGTTAGGCAAGCAGTCAGAAGCCACAGAAGAGAGGAAGCACAACAGGAAAAAAAAGAAGAAAAGGACAGTGTTATAAAAGGGGAACATTCTAGCATGATGCCACTTGGCTACTTAAAAAATCGCCCTAAAATAAAAATATACTAGATATGTCATTTTGAGTATCACTTCTGACACAGCAAATAAAAACAGTCACAAGTGCCTTTCTTGCCCTGCCTACTGCACCATCGTCAGTCCCGCCAAAGACGATTCGTGTCTCAAAAGGCCTGCAGATCAAGTTCTACGCTAAAAGGCCTCTTTTCCACACTCTCCCTAGCAAACTCCTGGTTTTGGGTCAAGTGCAATCGGGCTCTGTGACTTGTCCAGGTGATGCAGTGCAGGGTGGGGTGGGTGTGCAGACAGAGACAGGACGGGAGGCGCCCCGCGCGGGCACATACTCACGTCGGCTTCGCTGAGGGCCACGTCTACAATGCTGCCGATTACGATGAGAGAGTCAAAGGTGTTCCAGGCGTCACTAAAGTACCCCTGGACAGAGCAGGCGGGGGCAGATGTTCATGAGCATGTAGGAAGGAGACGCCTCCATGCCGACCACATGGGGACACACCCAGGCCCTGCAGCACCCACGGAAACCAGGAGCCAAAGGGAAGTGACCACACTGTCCACCGGTGGAGAGGGATGTGGAGCGGGGCACCTAAATGTGTGAAGGAGTCCATACACGCTCGCAAACACACACACACACGCACACGCATGCATGCACGCACACACAATGCAGATCTTGGTCCTAGGAGGCACTGGACCAAGCCACATACCTGCAGGACAGACAAGAGGGAGGCACTTGGCGATCCTGCCCTGGCACCCAGAGTCACAACCCCAAGCTGAGGGAGGAGAAGGCCTTCCTACTCCTTGCATGGGGTCCCCAATGACCCCACTTCCTTTCCCCAACTGAGTACTACGATTGGCCTTTCACACATTCTCACTTGTGTGCCCTTGAAACAAACCAGTATCCCTGCCCCTCCTCACCAGTCGAAGTACTGCAGAGGGCATGTCCTGTAAGGATGTCCTCACAGAGCTCTCGGTCAAAGGGACATGAAAGTTTACAGGGAGACTGGCCGGCGATGCACACGGTCCAGCTACAGAGGTGCGGGCGCGGGGTCAGCGCAGGCAAGGTCTCACGGGGAAGGAGCACTGAGCGAGGGTGATGATGAGCGAGGGTGATAATGGTCGAGGCTCCCACTGTCCCCCAGAGCAGCGTCAACCCCTCCAGAGGCTCCTCTTTCTCTCCATCTCTGTCTTCCTCTCCCTCTGCATCCTCCAGGCTGAGAGGGCTCCTCTCCATCCCACAAATCCCCACTAGGTTCTTCCTCACTTCCAGAGGCCTCTGCAAACCTGGCCTCCCCAACCCTACACTACCTGCCCACATCCACTTCCTCCTTCAGGCTCAGCTCAAATGTCAATGACCTAATGGCTTCTTTTCAGGTCCTCCTCACCTGCAGCCCCCATCCTGGGGACTTGGACTCTCTCTTGTTCTCTGAAGCTGTGATCACAGCTTCTGGGGTCTGTGCCTGCAGGTCGACCCTGGGATAAGCCCTCTGAGAATAAGGACTGTGCTGACTACTCTGCCCACTGCCCATCCCAGGGCTCTGAGCTCAGATGGTGCCTGACATGTGGCAAAGCCTCCACCTTCCATCAGCATGCGTCCTCCAGGTCATTCAGCTCTGCTCTATTGTCATTGTTTCGGGTTCTTGAATCTTGTGGAAGGTAGAACATTCCCAAGATGTAACTTAAAAATCCATGTACACGTGGCACACACTCTGCATCCTTTTCTGGGCTCAGCACAGTAGGGGCTATATTAGTGCCTGTCGTCTCCTGAGAGTCCCCAGGAAGCCCTCCATTGGAAGGCGTGGTGGGAGCTCTGTACCCAGAGGCTTCTGGTTGCAAGGCCAACACCTGAAAATCCACTGTGTCTTTTCAACAAGACAACATGTTGTGGACATAAAAATTCCAGTCTGAACTAAATAACAAGGGGCCCAGCATGCTTACAACTGGGTGTACTTAGTGCTGGATCAAGAAGACCAGCAGAGACAGTTCTGAGAAGGGTCAGGTCCCAGGAACTGGTATCAAGTGCAGGCCCAGAGGGAGCCGCTGCAGAGCCCGGGCCCTTTATGCCACTGTGGAGAAGGTGGACAGGCTGGCTGCTGCAGTAGCTGTGGCAGAGATGCCCATCCTGATCACTGTTAGTCACCCCAGGTGCATTTACAGGGGAGCTCTAACACTGCCTGAGGGGTTGGGATTTTTAAGCAGTTTCATCTTAAAGAATGTACAATCTTCCCAACCAACTGCCGTGACTTCTGACCCCAGCCCTCCCGTCTCCTCTCTCTTCCCTTCCCACAATCCCAGCGCCTCCCTCATCGTTCCTCACACTCATGACTGCCACCTCCCAGACCCCTCTGTCAGCCTCTAACCAGTAAGCAAAGGCCTGCCTGCCCCAACTCTGGTGATCTGTGGTACACGTTACATGTCTGACAGGAGGGTCTGCTCAATAAACACCACATCTCACATCTTAGAGCTTCTCTTCTCACGACGCGGGGCTCTTGGCTGGCGAAACTGAGGAGAAGGGGGCCCCCGTGTGAGGACAGGACTGGTGCCCCTCAACAAACCAGCCGTGCTGGTCAGTGATGAGAGCAGCACCAGGCCGGAAAGGCATGTTCTACTTCCCTCACCAAGGACGACGTCGGACACAAAGTCTGCTGATGACGCAGAGTGTGGAATGCCAGCACTGCACTGGACTGTGAGAACACGTGTTTGTTCTCAGGTTATTCACATCACTGCGAACAGTAACACACAGCGGGCTAACCAGCGGCCTAGCCACAGAGCACACTCTTGGGGGCAGAGCCTGTCCTTTTTTTAGGGACTTAACAGCAACACAGAGTCACAGGGCACGTGCAGGGCCTTCCCCTATCCTCCAGAGAGGATGCCTTAGAAACACGTGGTTGTCAGAAGCAACTGGGCCTCGAGAGAGACAGAGAACAGTAAAGACCCACTGTCCTTCCTGTCCATCCTGCACCCATCAGCCCCTGCCCTGTCCTGCTATGATACCTCCCTTAGTGAAGGCCACACCCACCGCCTGCGCACTCAGTCCCACTCTGCTTTCAACTTTATTCCTCAGGAGCTCCTCTCAGGAGTCTCTGTCTCTCCAGAGCGGTCAGTGTTCACCTCTGGACCATTCCTATCAGCCTATGAACTATCCTCCAGCTGGCCCATCCCAGCCCACTGTGATGTATAAAGTCACTCAGAACCAACCTGATAGCGACTTGACATTTGGGGTCCCAGAACTCTTTGGCAACCTCATCAACCCCCTCTCCGGAGAGTTTACTGCACTCAGTAAGTCGTGCTCAAATTCCAGAGGGTTCCTGGACTGACACCCCTAATCTAGGAGACAGGAGGCTGGAGTTGGTGCAGGTGCCTGGAAGCCATAGGCTCTGGCCAGGTGGCTCCGCTGGGGGTCCAGGGGAGGCAGAAAATGCCAGCCCTCCCCTTCTTCCCACATCCCGTTTCCCTGTTTAGTAGCCTCCTCTGTAATAAAGTGACTGTCAAGTGACTATGACTCAGCCCCCACCCTTCCCATCAAAGTCACCACAGCATCTGGTAACCAGCAGGTTAGGCCAGGGCTTCTAGCACGGCACCGCCTTCATGCTCTCTCCTCTTAGCCCGTGACAAGAGGGTCTCCTACAACTGAATGCTGAGGCCAGGGGGCCTGCATGTGGAACCAGCAGGCCTTAGCAGCCCAGTACGAGTTGGCCCTTATTATTTTTTGTCCTTTCTCACCCATTTGAAAGAACCAAGCAAGTCATTCACAAGCAATAACGTCGATTATTCGAAAACACTTCTTACTCTGGAAATTCAAAATCATAACCCAGATTAACATGGACGTAGGACCAGGAAGTTTGCTGTTTCTAAGAACTCTGTCCTGATTGTCCATCAGTGTCATCTCCTGCCCAACCACATGCTCCTGGGAGCAGAGTTGGACCCACAGCCAGGACAGAGCATAGGTGCGGCATGGGTTAAGCAGCAAGGTGTTTGCAGTGGAAACAAGAAGAGAAGACCAAGTCCATACTCTTTTTGATGCCTGGAGTCTCTCTGCAGACTGAAGAAGCTGAGGCAATCACTGGCCTTTTGGGGTTTACTGAGGCAGCCAAATCACCTACCAACTTCTGCCAGGGATTACCTAGGAAGGATTCAACCCAAGAGTTGACCCAGCTTTGGGCAGCTGTCACTGACAGCTTTCTAACCAGCATAAGCGTTTTCAAAGGGCAAGCAGAGGCTTGGAGAAAAACAAATTCACATTTGGTCACTCTGCTCTGCCTAAACCTCCTGTTATGGAAGAGCAGATAGTGTCTTATGCCAAGAGTCTGAACTCACAGGCTCATCCACCCGTTCTTTTCTTCTTTCCATCACTTTTCTGAGTAACCTGCATGTAGCAGGCATCGCGTGAGACAAACACAAAGCCTGTGACCTTGAGCAGCTGCTCATCAGCTAATGGAGGGAGAGACACGGGTGGTACTGATGCACAGTGAGCATCTCACACAAGCACATGTGCAGGGCGAGCTGACCCTGGCTGGGCTGGGGGGACACTGTCACGGAGGAGTCCACATCCCAGACAGGCCTTAAAAGACAACGAGGTGGACAAAGGGCTTCCAGACACAGAAGCATGAGCCACGGAGAAGGCCAGCAGGCTAATAACTGGGGATGGGGGCAGAAGAGGAATGGCCGGGAAGTCATGACCAGAAACGAGGCAGACATGTAAGTGCGCTAGTGTCTGGTGCAGGACTTTGAATACTCAACAGAGAAATACCTCCCCCACACCCCCTGCCACACACACACAATAGGTGCATGGTCACCTGTGGGTTTACAAGCGAGTGCGCAGAAGGTGGAGGGAGAGAGCTGAGACCAGAGGCAGAAGATGGTGCGGCAGTTGAGTGACACAGGAGGGAGTGGGGCAGGGGAGCCTGGGGTGACACAAGCTGGCCTCCGAAGCCCTGGGCATGTCTTACTAGGGGAGAAGGGGACCAGAAGGGAGCTGTGGACCCAGGTCTGGACGGGACAGCTGAGCCCACAGATGAGCCTAGTTCTAGTTAAGGAGAGGCATGTTTCCTCTTAAGTGTTGTTATTTGGCATTAAAACACATCACTGAGATATATGTACTCATTATGAACTGAAAAGATAGTATCAAGGTTTCATTCTAGGAGGTGCAGAATATACTCCAGGAAAACTGCTAGCACTGACTGAGCAGCCTTATTTCTGCCAGGGACCCGGGGGAGGGAATGCTGTCCTGGGAGGTGGACAGAACCAAGTGCCCAGTGTTTGCCGCAGGTCTGCTCTGCACAGCAGCAGGACAGTGCTCAGCTGCTTTCTTCTTCCTCCAAATCCTGTAACTCGACTTTTTCCACATTCCAGTGTCTTGGCGTGTAGATCAGGCATTTTCAAGGCACAGTTGACCCTTGAACAATGCGGGTTTGAAATGTTTAGGTCCACATACAGGCAGATATTTTTCAGTAGTAAATCTCACAGCACAACGTGGTCCATGGTTGGACTAATCCATGGATGCAGGGGAACCTCAGATGAGGAGGGGCGACTCTAAGTTATACGTGGATTAACCCGCGTGTTGTTCAAAGGTCAAATGTAGAACCAAGAGCAAAATGCTTAGAGGTCTAAAACGTGGGAACAAAGTGTGGCTCCCTGAAGAAAGGCCCATGGCGGAGGCAGATAACATAGGTGACCACATGTTGGACCAAACACCACACGGGTAGCTTCCAAAAGCACAAAGGAGACAAAGCCCTCCCTGGGGCAAGAGAATCACTGGAGGATTCCAGCAGCTGCCCCTCGGGAGAACTGCAGGGGAAGCCCAGGGGAATGAGACTTGGTTCTTACCCAAATCAGGGCCCATCTTTCAAAACCCTAGGGCACCCCAGTCACCCCAAGTGCGTGAGGTCAATGCCCAATGGGTGGGTCTTCCCCGAGGTGTTCCCACTGAACAGCCTGCTTGCTCTGCCCTCTCACTCCCTGGCTCTCTGGCCTCTCGACACCTTCCATGCTTGCTGAATCCACACTCCAAACAACTCTCTCCCTGGAAGGATCCCACCTCCCCACCAGGGAAGCTCCCGCTTTGCGGGAGGTAGTTCCTACTTCCACCCCCCAGCTTGGCCCTTCCTGCTTATGGAGACTGGGTGATCTCACCTTGCAGAGCCTCAGACCATGTCCCTCTAAATGTGCTCTCACTCAAGAGGCCCCCTTTTACCAGCCAGGCCTTGCAGAGAAAAGAAGTCAGGTTCCTCCACTTGTTGGAACCCTTCCTCCTGCGATGTCTTCTCACTTCCAGGAAGGACTCTCACCCTACCACCCCACTTCAGGCTGTGCTCCACACAGCAGCATAGCCTCCAACAATAGCCCCCAGGCTCTTGCCTCCCTCACTACACCCCATCTCCAGCTCTGGGACCTCCACACTCCTAACCCTCCGCCTGCAAGCACTTCTCTCCCACTGAACCCACCTCCGCCCAGCCCCCCACACCCCTTCTGCCTTCACCAGATGGCACCTGCCAGCAGGCACTCTGCCCAGCATTCACTGACTGGTTCCTGAGCGCCAGGGCTGGGTAAGTCTCTAGGGACCCTGTAGGTATGTCAAGTGGGAGCACTGATCCGTGGCAGGACCCATATGGTGGGCAACTTGCAAACTCAGCTGGGTTAAGGGCTGTCCGGACGCCCACCAGGAGGGCTGTTTTCATGGCCACCAAGCGGCCAGCATGCCCCATGATGGCCCCCATCCAGCCATCAAGCTGCTACACTGAGGCTCACCTGAGCTAACTTCACTCTTTGTATTCCTAGGACAAAATAGCTGCAATCCCATCTCTCTTGACAGATGCCAAAAAGTTCTCCCAGAACATGTGTCCCTCACCGTAGAGAACACGACCTCAGAGGACCCTGTGATTCAGCATTCCGGGAGAGACAAAGACTTTCTGAATGAAGTTGCTGGGCCAGGTTCCCAGCCCTCTAAAGAGATTCTCCCATCAGCTGCCTTTGCAATGTGCTTCCTCAATCCCACTGCCTCTGACGGGGAGGAGGGCCTCATGGACTCTGTGGAAGGCCCGGCCTTGGTTTGCTAACACGAAAGAGACAGGAGAGTCAGGAAGCGTTTTAAGAGCTTTGCTTCTTAGTGAAATGAGTCTCTCTGGCTCCTCCAGACATACAGTGACAACATAAAATCCATCCGCTTCACACACACGGCAACAGTGCCCCTCGAGTGTCAAGATCCTGCTACTGCCATTTAAAGATTTCTCTCACTTCTAATCCGAGGTTGTCCTCTGCTGTGAAAATACCTTGCGGAGGAAAACTAGAAAGCAGCACAGTTTCTAACAGAAATCACTCATTTTAAAAGTCTGATCCATCAGTACTGTTTATAAATTAGCTACTGACTTCCCCTTGTCCTCACCAGTCTGTTCACATGCCACTGAACTCCCCTCCCAGCGTTGGTATCAGCGGTCCACTGACACAGCCACTGAGAGTGCACACACAGACACACACGGACTCACATGCATGCCATGGGCAAATGTGCCTTCTTGGAGCTTCATCACCAGGTGGGGGGAAGTCAGGGTGCGGGGATCTGGGAAATGTTCCATAGGTACATTCCATGTTGCCTGGATCAAGTACTTTTGAAGTTCTTACTTTGCAACCTTTCCATCAGTCCAGACAAATACTGTTCACAGATGGAAAGGGCAGAGGGACACAAACCAAAATCTCAAAGGAAATCCAGAAGAGTTTGGGAGGGGAGGAAATGTGTATGTATGGAGATATGGACAAGTCACAGGAAATAGCATCTGGCCATGCAGAAGTGCCAAATCTGACCCCACTGCAATCACCCCGATCAGTCACTTACAAGTGTCCTTTCTTTTTGGTCCACAAAGATCTGATAAAGATGGCATAGAAATTAATTCACATTAAAGAAAGGAACAGTTCTGAATTAGAATCCCACTGAAGTATGGAGTATGTGAGACCATCATTTCATAATCCAGGTCTCACTTAGATCAGTATTGTCAGATACTTTCCACACCAATGAACAAATACTGGGGATGACTAAACTCATTCTCTAACTTGGATGGGTGGAGGGTTTGCTAGTAAAGAAACTGAGGGTTAGATGTCCCACAGTTGAGCCTGGACATGCTCCTCTGTCTAGAGTGTTAGGACAAGGGAACATCACTGCTTGCTGAGGAGAATGGTAGTGGTCACAGTGACAGTCCTGGCATATCTACAGCATGGGGCTGTGTGCCAGGCCAGGCATTCCTGTAAGCCATGGCACACAGAGAGATTCTTACTCCTCTAAACCATGCTATGAAACAGGACTACTCGTGTCCTCATTCCATGGATGAGGAAATGGGAGTCACAGAACAGTGAAGTCACTCGCTTGGGGATTTGAATCCAGTCTGCTTCCAGATTTGTGCATCTTTTTCCACACTGTACTATCTGTCTCTTATACTACACACATTGACAACTGTAGACTGGATGCATGGCCTCCTAAAGGGTACAGAATATGCAGAGCAGTCCAACACAGTTTAAAATGCATGTCTTGTTTTGTCTTAAAGTAAAGAGAAATTTTTCTAAACTAAACAAACGAAAGATGGTATGGCTCTGAGAGGTCTGCAGCTGGTTGAATTTTCCATAAAAGGTGAAAAAGATGCTGTAGACCAAGAACAAAGAAAACTGAAGTTTTTATGCTGGAAATCTAAAAGTAACATCAGGGCAGAATTATCTCTGATGGGTTATGTGAAAGCAGTGTCTCCAATGCTCAAGTAAGGAGGCAAGTTTCTGTGAGACAGTGTGATGCATACTCTTCTAGAAACAAAAAATCCGGTTTCAAAACAATCTTTATTGTGCAAATTCCTAATTCTCTTTTCTTTTTCTCAGAATTGTTTTTATGAGGGTTTGTTTTTGCAGATTTATTTTCCCCTGCGTACATAGATGCCCTTATCAGATGATAACCTAGTTAACAGCCAGAACCATTCAGCATAATCCAGAAACACAAAACCAACAGGAAGTAAGCAGTTCTCGGAGGTGATTCAGCAACAGCCCTTGACAAGTGACTTCAGCAACTTACCTTAGGCTTAAATGCAATGACTTTCAAAACCATCTCGACAGTGAACACCCCGGTGAAGACCATGTTCAGGATGTCCATGGCGTCATTAAACATCTTGGACTGCTCGTAGTGCTGTGGATGGAGGCGGAGGCACAGTTCTCAGGGTCTGCTCCAGATTTGCAAAAGGAGCCTCCCCAGCCCTCCCCAGCCCCCAGCAAGCATCCGTCTCACACTTGGACATGGAGGTGACCTCCCCATCTAGCACCCTCTCCCAGTGATCCCACTGACCCTGCGAGGGCATATGGCTGACCCCCCACAAGCGCAGGAAGCCTCGACAAGATGAGGGTGACTGAACAATGAAGGGGAAAGACATCCATTTCCTCTGCTCAGGATAAAGGGAATCCACCCTTTCTCCTGACGGGGTTTATATTCAGGGCCTTGACCCAGGTACAATGCAGAACACACCCACAGGTCTATGGACAAAGGTAGGATTCAATTAGGTATACATTTTATGCCATTTAGGCCTATGTTCAATCATAATCAGTATAATCTTGACTTTATGCTTTTCCCTACATCAGCAGAGGATCCTTTTCGTTCATGAAGAATTCCTCAATTTAAGGAAAGGACCAGAAAATGTATCCTTGGCTGTCTTTAGAGCCATTTTCCAGATAACACTGGTTTGCTCAAATCCTTACAGTCAGTGGGAAACTGAAACCAGACCTTGGCCACTCTTGTCCTGGTGCAACTGCCATCAGGCAATGTGAGTGCTGGAAACTCTGTCAGTCCCACTCTGTAATTCAACATGGCCAGCTGACAGGACTTGCAGCTCTTGTTCCCAGCATGAACAAGGAGCGGAGGTCAAATAGACTCCACACTCCACGAACCAGAAAGTTTCCCACCGCCACGCTGAGAGCGACTTGAGGATAAGAATGTCACTCTGAGACGGTCCCAGAGCAAAGTGCCTGACACAAGTCATCCAGCATCAACTCTGTCTCCCACTTTACCAACAAAGAAAGCCAGTCCTGGGGGATGTAAATAACTTTCCCTAGATCATCCAGGGGCTGAGGAGTCAAGTCGGGATTGAAGCCCCTGTCTTTTCAACTCCACACTGACAGAGGTTTAGTCCTCACCCACCCCCTGGCCACAGGAGCCCACAGGAAAGGTTTATAGACTGGAAGGCCATGCTAGGGCTCCACAGATGTGTCACTGATGGTCACAATGCATACATAATCAGTCTCTTATGCAAAAGAGTGCCTGTAAACTCCTGCCCTGGCAACTGTTAGCCAGAATGCAAGTCTGGCCAAACTGCAGCCCAGACTCATCAGAAAAGCAAAGCCTTCCTCTTGTGAGGGGGCGGCATTTCACCCTCAGGATCTGGGGCATGGGGCTGTGCCGAAGGCCCACATGTGATCCACGTGACTGTCTCCATTTTTACCTGCATGGCCAAGCAGAGTGTGTTGAGCATGATGAGGACAAACATCATGTATTCGAAAGGCGAGGAGTTCACCACGTACCAGAACTTGTACTGGTAGGGATTTTTGGGGATGTATCTCCGCAGCGGACGTGCCTTCAAGGCGTATTCAACACACTGACGCTGCAACGGCAGAAAAGAGCAATGGGGGTCCTGAGCACGTCTATGGAAAAAGGACACAGTTCTCATCTGCCCCAAAAAGCCAGTGCACACCTACTGGGAAGGACCCCGGATGACGGGAAATCACCATAGCAACCCCCAAGGGTACCACTCAGCATCACTGACAATGGACCCCCAGATCCATCCCCTCATCTGCTCCTCACAGCAGCCTTGGAGGGTAAGCGGAGCAGTGTGCTTTCATTTTACTTATTAAAAGACTGAGGTCCTGTAGTGCATTAAGCAGAGATGCAAGGCTTCGACCCCCATCTCTACCTGCCCTTCCTCAATGCTGGTGGAATTCTCCTTCCCAGGAAAAGAAGCCAAGTAATGAGAGGCAAGGAAATCCTCAAGAATCAGAGGGGCTGGGCTGATTCCCTGAGACTGGTGGTCCCTGGCTGCTCCAGGAGGGACCCACATGAGACATCTCCCAGAAGGAGAGCGAGGGTGTTAACCCTGAGCATCTAGTGGTGAGTGAGCCGAGTGTCTGCTGAGAACTTTTGAGGCTCAGGAGCTCGTTGAGTTCATCTAAGAACCCCAGGACATGGTCTGGGATGACAGCCAGGGCACTGCCCCAGGCACTCACATGGAGGTCGTTATCAGTGCACCATGTGCAGCCAGCCTAGAGGAGCCTCCAGCCCCGAGAGCCTTCAGCTCAGCATCAGACCCTCCTGGCTCCTTGGTCCTCACTGACCCCTATTCTCGACTCTGTCTCTGGATTCTGACTTCGGACAGGCTCTCTCCATCCAAGGCCTGGCTCTTCCGTGACTTCACATGCTGCCTCTTGGGACCCCTGATCAGAGCCTCTTTGGGACCTTGTGGTGACCCAGTTTGAGCTCGGCTGCTGTTTGGGTCCTGCCCTGATGCTCTTCTTCCTTGGCGGTGGTCAGGAAGGTGAAGAGCTGGGCCAGGCCTCCCTCAGACTGTGGCTGATACGATCTGCAGGTGCACCCGACGAGGGTGACACCTCCCTGAAAACCTGGCGGTCCTTGTGTTTCCCCTGGCGGGGAGGCTGCAGCCTGAGACAGACAGCCTCGTCGCGCATGGCCACTTCCCCCCAGGAAGCCCGGGCTGGCAGAGGACCCTTGCTCACTATGTAGTCATCAAACAGAGATGGCTCCTGATAGAGGGCCTGGGGGAAATTCCTGTAACATAATCTCCATCTCACAGACTACTTTCAGGGCTGAAAGTTAACTCGTTCATGTCCTCAATTTAAAAGAGAGAAGGGGGCTAACCCAGACAGGAGGGGGAATGCACCCACACTCACAGAGCAGGTTCATGGAGAACATGACCAACCTGGTCTCCCAGCTGTCTCACATCATCAAGTGAGCAGAGCCAAAGGCCACCCTGTCTGTCAGCTTAGTTAAAACGAGGTGCAGGGTCAAGGGAGAGTGATGCCAGTGCAATCCTGGTCTCAAGGTTAAAGTTAGCAACTTTCCCTGTGGTTTGAGAGAGTACTTCCTTCTAAGTCAGTGGTTCTCAACCAGGGGACATTTGACAATGTCTGAAGATATTTCTGCTTGTCACCAAAAATGGTGCAGAATCGGGGGGTGGTGGTGCAGAAGGTGCTACTGGAATCTAGTGGGTAGAGGCCAGTGATGCTTCTAAACCATGCACAGGAAGCACAACAAAGAGTTATCCAGCCTCCAGCATCAACAGACCCAAGGTTGAGAAGGTTCAAGGCTATGCCCCGCCAGGGACTATGCGAATATCAAGGGGTGCTCTCTGTCCCCAGGCCACACCACCCTGCATGACTCTGAGCTGTCACAGGTAGGTCATGACCACACAAGGCGGCCAAGGTATTCTGGCTTCTCACCCACATGTGGGGGTAAATTTAAAAATTACAGCCTCATCTGTCTCTGGGAACCTAACTCTCAACACTAATGACTCAGATTGGCTGAGAGTATGCTCTGAGCAGGTCCTGAGCCCCAGGGGCAGAGAGCAGGTGGGCACCCTGCTCTGCACGTGGGGAAAGCCATCAAAAGAGAAATCAGTCCTCTTTAGCTCAAGGGACAGAAGCCCAAACAGTGTGTGACTTTAACCTGATTTTTGTCCAGCTCACAGTTCTTATACTCTTTCTCTCCCTGTTCTTGAAATGTGACGATGACGAAGCCCACGAAGATGTTCATCATGAAGAATGCAACAATGATGATGTAGATGATGAAGAAGATGGAGATCTCCACGCGGTAGTTGTAGATGGGGCCCACATTCTCTCCGTTCGAGTCGATGGCTTTGTACAGCAACCTGGAGAGCAGAGAACCAGTCAGCACCGGCCCTGTTGCCTTCTGAGTGCCTCTGGGGGCACGGAGACCGGGGCCCCTCAGTAGGAGCCCACCCTAAGTCCCCTGGATACACAGTGGTCCAGGGGAAGCCTCCTGAGCATCAGGCCAGGCAGCCCAGCACTTGGGGGAGGAAGGAGCACCTGGGATGTATTTGTTGACTGATTGCTCTGAGGACCAAGAAAGATTTACAAGTATTAAATAATGCTCCTTTCTAGTCACAGACAGAAGAGAGGAAGGACATCACATGGACGTCTTTAGCGGAACTGAAAGCTATAAACACAAGAGCACGAGTACACAGCCAGGGAAATTCCAAAGAACTACAAGAAATTCTCCAAACTGAAGCAGGCACTACAGTGAAATATGTGCCAAGCAGAACTCTGAGCAGAAGGAGGGGAAATTACTGCAGCAACCTCCAATTCAATTCACGCCCATTCCCATGCAGATGCAGCCTTTCTGAGCACTAACCACGCGCTGCCCTGTGCTGGATGCTTGCACATCCATCTGGAAAGGTGGACACACTGCAGTCCTATCTTACAGAAGCTCAGGGAGGGGTCTCAGTGTCCAAGGTCAAGGTCCTGGGGGAGCAGAGTCAGAGTGGAGCTCACCTGCCCTGAGCCCCAAGCTCATTCATTTTCCTACCATCCTTGGTGGCAGCTGCCATCAGATTTCCTAAAGTGCTGTGTTTAAAATCTGAGGCCACAGCCAGCGCCTCTGGAGAGAGCAGGCTCTCACCCCATGCTCGCCTCCTCCCAGGGCCAAGTCCCACTGGACTGTCCTCTTACTCTGCAGGCACTCCATGCATCCAGAGAGTCCTGCCAGCCCATCCACCCTGCAGAGCTCCTCTGGGCATGACAACCTGACATGCAGAACACCATCAATGTATGTATATTCTGGTGGCAGGAGCTGGAGTGCCATCAGAGACCAGAGAACAAGAAAGGTGTAAGAGACTCTCCTTCTGTATTCTGCTTCCTTCCCTTTTTCTTACTCCACCCATCAAAACCCAAGTCATTCCTCAGGGCCCTGTGTGCATGTCACTGACGCAGCAGGCCTCTCGTGCCTGGCTTGTCTGAGGACACTGACGAGATGCAGGCTTTGAAAGGGGGAACCATGTCTAGACAGCTCTGTTTCTTCCACGGGGCTTAATACAGTGTGTTGCCGGGAGCTAATATCAAGAGCACACTTCATGAATGACTGAGTGAGTGCATCAGTGAAAGACACGACACATTGGTACGTATCAGGACTCGGAGTGAACGAACAAACAGTCTGGGACACTATCAAGGGCCTCTTAGGACAGCGTAATGGCAGCTTCACTGATGGGGCGACACAGGGGCTGGCCTGAAAAATGCCTCTGGGGACTCCCCATTCCCATCCAGGGATGCCCCCTTCACCCCATCCCGGCTTCTCAAATCTGAGAGTCCTGGCAGCTGCCCATAGAGGTGAATCATTCACCGAATCAGACAGAGGGGCCCTGTGCATCAGGAAGTGAATGCTGAGTGGCCCAAAGTTACAAAGTCAGAGAAGAGGCCTGCAACGCTGGAGAAAAGTGGCAGGACTCACTCCAGGAGAGACGGCTCAGCCCAGGGTGCCTGCAAAGCAGCAGGGGCATCCCCAGGAGACACACGGTCCCGGTACTCACGCGGGCCAGCCCTCGAACGTGGAGACCGTGAACAGGGCCATCATAGCCGAGAGGACGTTGTCAAAGTTGAAATCGCTGTTTTGCCAGATCCTCTCACGGACCACAGGACTGTCAACATCCCCATCCTTGTAGAGGATGAAGAGCCCCCTAGACAGGAGAAGAGCCCGGGTCACCCAAGCTGGGTAAGGAATGAGCCGCCGCCCCAATCCCCCCCAACCCCGGGCATCATCACGCTCGGTCCACAGCCAGGCCACAGGTCTGAGCGCAGCACAGGCTGCCCTTCTCCTAATCCTGGCCTGGGTTTAGTCTACTCCACCGTTCAAATAACCAGTTAAAGGAGTATTCTCCAGAGCGACCAAGCAGACACCTAGCACATGTCTGACCACAAAGGAGAACTACTGAGCAAGAACCATCCCTCCTACAACGGGCTCCAAGTGTGCAATGAAGAACCAAGAGCTTTGGCTGTGCAGAATTCCACAGCTCTGGGAAACCAGCCCAAGCATCCTCTTATCTCCGTCTTAGTTTTAATCGAATTCCTTTTCTGCTATTAACAATATTCCCAGTCCTCTATCCAAAAGAACTCTGCAATTGCTGGCACACAGTATTTCTCATACAATCGCACTTCTGGAAGGGTTCCAGCATCTTTGTTCCATAGATGAGGAGGCTGACATAGTGAGGGAAGGGAAGGCTTCCGTGCTATCACCTCCATGGGCGCCCCCCCTAACCCACGGTGCGAACGGGGCCCCTGAAGCCCACAGCCACGGCCACACGGCAGTCAGATAACTCTCTGAGGGCACCGACGACTGAAAAGAAGTGCCCAGTGAGCAGCCAGGGCAAGCAGCCCAGCCTTGGCTGGCGACATCTCAGGACAGGGACACACGGACGTCTACGCTAAGGTCTCAGCACTTCAGGCTGCGGTTTCTGGGTCTGCCTTCAGAGTCATGTGGATGAGCTGGGGTAAGAGAAACGAGTATTTACCACCTGCTCTCTCCTGTCACCATTACTGTGAATGAAAATGAGGCCAAAATGCGGGTGAGGGGAACAAGTGGGGAGAAGCAGCCTGGGACTTGTCAGCAGAGGGGGCCGGATCCTGGATTCCGGCAGGTTGAGCTCTGAGTTCTGGTTTGAGGAAAAGCTTGGCTACGTGGCTGTAGGGAGAGCTAATTGTTATTTCAGGTTTTAGTGCCAACCCCTCAGTTTACTGATTCTACACCAAACATCAAAAGTCGTTGGTCCATCCGCTCTCTTTTTTAAAATATAAGGAATCTTTGTTTCTTTTCTTTTTAAAACAAACAAAAAAATTTATTTATTTGGCTGCACCAGGTCTTAGTTGCAGCGTGTGGGATCTAGTTCGCTGACCAGGGATCAAACCTGAGCCCCCTGCATTGGGAGTGTGGAGTCTTAGCACTGGGGAAGAGGGGGAATTCCCCGTGTGTCCATTCTTTAGGGGTGATCAGAAGCTTCGGAACTGGCCTGCGGTGTCGCTCATACTACAATAGGGTTGTATGAAATGCCACTGAACTGTGCAGTCTGAAGAGGTGAATTTTATGTTCTGTGAATTTCACCTCAAAACCAACTCCTCCATCTTTCCAGCTAGGAGCTGAGCTCTCAGGACTCTTGTCCTCTACAACAAAACCTTCAGAGACACTAAATACGAACAAATCCTTGAAGCTCTCTATCTGTTCTTCCAAATTCCCCACTCCCACATTCAGGGCAGGCTTCCTGGGCAGCTCAGTGATAAAGAATATGTCTGCCAATGCAAGAGACATGAGTTCAACCCCCCAGTCTGGGAAGATCCCCTGGAGAAAGAAACAACAAGAGACTCCAGTATTCTTGCCTGGAGAACCCCCTGGACAGAGGAGCCTGGCAGGCGGCAGCCCCTGGCATCGCGAAGAGTCTGACATGACCTAGTGACTAAACAGCAACAACGTTCAGGGCACTCACCTACATTCTTCGGGGTTACTTTTGGCTTCGTCTGTGCAGCGATAGAACTTTCCCTGGACACAAAACAGACAGGCAGTCAAACTCTGGTTCCCCCTGAAGAGACGGGCTCGGCTCCGTGCTCAAGGGCCCTGCCCTGTACCTTGAAGAGCTGGACCCCGATGCAGGCAAACATGAACTGGAGGAGCGTGGTGACGATCATGATGTTGCCAATCGTCCGGATGGCCACGAAGACACACTGGACCACGTGCTGGGAAGGAGGGGTGGGGAGCAGACAGGGGGCCATTACTTGCCTGTGCTATTTTAGCCACAGGGTGAGCTAACATCAGCCAAGACTTTCTACGATTATGTGCATTTTCACATGAGCTTCCTACTTGACAGTCCTCTATGCCTTGTCTTGCAGGCAGTGATCTATGGCGGGTTCCCCTCAGTGCATCGTGGCCATTTGGGTGGGATGCCCTGTAAGAAGCCGCTCCTTGGTTTCCTTAAAAGCAGTGAGCTTAGGGTAGAAGAGCCATGGGGCAGAGCAGCACCCGGCACACGAGCCCCTCTTATGCACCCCGTCAGAGGACTTGGGAAAATGTAAACCCTCTGGCCTTTTGTACAAACTCCCTAAGAACAGAGCTAAAGACTGAACTAAACCCAAAGGAATACTATTAATAATGAAAAAAGTAATAAAGTATGACAGTAGTCAGATAAAGAAAAATATTTTAAATTAACAAAAATTTTTAAATAGCAATTTTTTAAATGCTACCAGCACTTGGGAGAGCCAGCCTCATTGACTAGAAATGTTCTGTTCTAAGCCAAAACCCACTTAAAAAATCCATCAGGCCTCAGCCCAGCTCCAGCCCAGCTCCAGCCCAGGAAAGTCAGTGATGATAGCTAACCTTGACCAAAGCTAGCCCAGCCTGGGGAGGAATTCAAACCTTAAGTCCTTTCGCTCTGTTGATGGCCCTGAGTGGCCTCAGGACCCTTAGGACCCTCAGAATCTTCACAACAGAGATGGCACTGGATCTAAGGGAAAGAGCAGAGGAAAGAAAGCAAGCAGAGTGTATCACAGTTGCTAAAATGCTGCGAGATGATTTCACTGCAGTGTGGTGATGGTGGGAGAGCCAAGCTCTCCCCACAGCCCGACAGGAGGACGGGTCTCCTCCTTCCCATCCATACTCCACCACAGTCCTGGATCGGAACTCACGGAGCCCTGAGAGTCACGCAGCTGATGCAGCAGAGATGCGACTCTGGGTGCACCTGGTTCTTCCCACCTGATGTCTGCTCTTGGCGTGACCTGGCCGGGTTGTGCTGGTTTGGTTTGTTTTCTAAGTTTGGAGGCCCTGCTGTGCTGCTCTGATGCTGGGCTTCCCTGGCCTTCAAGAAGGCTGCTGCTGGGTGGGAGAGATGGGCAACTGCAAGCCAGTGTGCAGGAGTGACAACAGAGGGTAGCGTGCCTCAGTGGGGCTCTGGGAAGGTGCCCTGGAGGTGACAGCCGGGTGAGAACCTAGGGGTGATGGGGTTACCTAGACAAAGGGGGAAGGGGCTCCAGCCGAGGAGGGCAGCACCTACGCAGGCCCTAGAAGGGAGGCTGCAGCTGGTGGAGAATGGCAGGTGGCTGAGTGTGGCCAGAGCACAAGCTCTCATGAGGCAGTGGGTGGGGGCGGAGAGCCAGGCACAGCCAGGAGCCCCCAGGAGCTGCAGAGATACTCGTGAGAATGTCTGTCTAGGCTACGGCTACACGGCTCCCCACACTGGGCACTGAAGGGAGGTGAGAGAGATGCTTAGCACAGGGCAGCTTCAGCAAAGGTCCTCATCTTCTGACGGGGACACAGCCTCTTGTTCACCTTTAGTTCAGAGGCCGTGTGCACACAGGGCTCTTCTACGGAGGCACTGGTGGTCAGCACCCGAGCAGAAGCGCTTTGAAGTCCGCAGGAGAGCAAGGCCACCCCAGACGCTCCCACTGGAGCTTCTGCTTCACGCCCCCAGGTGTGGCAAGTGGGGTGCAGCTGCGGTTATTCCCCACGAGAAATCACTCAATGCCATGGAAAGGCCCTGAGGCTCTAACTTGCAGCTTTGCCCTTCCCAGATAAAAATTTGAGAGACTGGAAGGAAAGGGTCACAGCAGCTGATTTATCCTGGAGAGGAAAGAAGCCTTTGATCTTCAAGTTGGAAGGGCTAAAGAGGCCACCTCATGCTACCCTTCGTGTTCAGAAGTGGAATGGAGATCTCAGGAAAGGAGGCCCCTCAGCACCTGAAGAATCCTTGGAGACCCCAGGCTAGAGCCCAGCTGCCCTCCCTTCTAGTTCAGACTTCCTTCACCCTCTTTTGAAAACAAAACAAAAAAATCACAGAGAATAGTGAGCACAGCCCAGCAAATGGCATAAACAGAAAAACAGAAGCACAGAGAAGCACGCGTTGTCACAATTCTTTCTGGTACGGGCACGAATTAAGCTTTCCAGTTAACTGAACGCCACCATCAACATGATGCCTAGGCTTTATAAAGGTGTTAATCACTCAGTTGTCTCTGACTCTGTGCCACCCCACGGGCCGTAGCCCTCCAGGCTCCTCTGTCCATGGAATTCTCCAGGCAAGAATACTGGAGTGGGTTGCCATTCCCTTCTCCAGGGGATCTACCTGACCCAGGGATTGAACCTGGGTCTCCTGTATTGCAGGCAGATTCTTTACCATCTGAGTCACCAGGGAAGCCCCTCACATAGACCTGCCTGCCCAACAGTCCTGTGTACACACACACACAGAATACTTACTGGATCCCAAATGACACCAAAGACACCCCAACGACCAGCATATCCAGTAAGTTGAAGTAGTTCCTGCAGAAAGCGCCTTTGTGGAGGAAAGCGCCAAAGGTCGTCATCTGTGAGCAGAATCATAAGTGACTTAGTGTTTTTTCCTCTTTGTTTCTCTTTGCAGGGGAAAAGAAACCTGGGCTCTTTACAAAATCTTGAGCAAAGTATGACTTTATGAACAAGTGTGGGTTAGGAAGCCAGAAACGCAAAGCAACAGGGCAGAGTAACCAAAGGCTTTGTTCAAAAATGAAAAAAGGGCAGTTGACTTCCAACACATTTTAAAAGAACACACCAGTTGGGATTTCATTATAACAATGACAAATTTCAAATATGGTTATATCATTGGCACCTCCAAAGGCCCTGTCTCAGGAGTGGTCCACGTGACCAGGTTTCTCAGGATTCAATCACTGCCCAGACAACCTGGCTTCCCCATAAAACTCTGGTTCCAGCCCCACGGAGATGCCAACAGAGCCCATGTTGTTCCAACCCAGGCTTCTCAGTGGGGCTGGAAGTGCCTGAGCCCTGGCCTCACACACACTGTTGACAAAGACAGTGGCTTCATCTCCCCAGGCCCCATGCTGCTCTTAACAGTCCCGAGTGATATATCCATTTCAAAGGGCTCCTGTAAGTCCAGCCACTCTGGCATGTGCCAGGTGTCGCTCAGAAGCTGTTATGCGTACCTCACCTGCTCCTCACCTGCTCTCTAAGCCACGGCCCCAAGTGCCCGGAGCCCACACTGCAGGTCCCCAGTGAGCTTCCTAAACAAGGAGCTTAATGAGCAAATGCCCCAGAGAAAAAACTGAAAAACACATGGAGTTACTGCTTATTTTAAAAAAAAGATGGGGGAATTTTCAGATAAGTACCAGAAAGGAAGAGCTGGGAGTTAATTATACTGGACCACGTGGAACTGCCAATAATCAATCCTCTTTGACCCACAAACTACAACAAAAAGCCCACTTCAAATGTAACCCAGTAACCAAACAGCCTTCCAAACCTTCCCCAGGCTATCAGGAACCACCTTTTCAATGTCAACTGCTTCTCAGAGAGTCTCCATGTTTAGAATCCCTCTTGTTTTAGCTTATTTTCCACTCTCTAAGATTTCTTCAAAATGAGGATTGATTTGGAAGATTTAAGTCACTGAGGCAAATACATAGAAAGTGAAAAGCAGTAATTATGGGGGTTTTTTCTTTTAAATAAACCTGTATCTCTTTGCCCTGAAGCCCAAGAGTACCTACACTTCATTGAACAACTTAAAAATGTGGAAAGGAAAATAAAACCTCAATTAACCAGGCTAACAGGCTAAGGACGACATTTCCAAATTCAGTCCAAGGAGACGGCAAATTACCAAAAAAGAAAACTCAGGATGGAGCATAGGCCAGGTGGGCACTGTTGCACCCCACACCCCGTGCCTTCTGCTGCGATGCCTGTCACCATGGAGACGGTGGTAGAATCTGCTCACTGATCCAGGCAGCATCTCACTTCGGACCACATTCAACCACATTTACTGACCTGATGGCAGGAAAATGAACTCAAACATCTAGAAGATTTTTAACAAAGGTTTAAACAGAGGTTGGTTGGTCGGTATTGTGCTAATATTTTCATTAGCCAAAAAAAAGAGAGAGAAAGACAGAAAGTAACTAAATACTCTTATTGCCTGGAATGTTAACTGAGGTTTCATTTTACAGAATATTTTGTAAAGAGCCCAAGTTCCACAGTAGTCTACATGAAAATACTTCTTTTCTGTCCTGAGATGCACACACAAAAACCCCAACATGGTTTAAAGAAACTTGTGGTTACAAGTCCCCATTTCCCTGAGTGCCTCCCCACCAGGAGATGTCGCAGGCCACACTGCCCCAGGACATCAATGATGCACGCCCCTGGGCAAGTCTGGGGTTCTGGGCTGTCCACTGTAGGCCTACAGACTTCCAAGTCCATAGAAATGGAGGATGGGCTCACCCAAGGTGGCCTTCAAAACCAGGACACAAACCACATGCAGCAATGGCAACTGGCAGCTCATGCATGGGCAGTACATTCTGGGCACCCTGTCCAGAAGGTGCTCTTTTTGTTTGTGTAAATGTAAGCCCATCCATTAAAACAGATATATCTTAACACAGAGAGACCCATGTTATCTTGCAAATCTTGTTGCAAGAAAATAGTGTGTTACTATTTCAGGGCACCAAAAACATAATGCAGTCAAAGAAACAAGAGAGACGTTTCCTCCCTCGGAGGAAGGCTTTTCCTCTGACTTCGAGGACAGGAAGGGTGGAAGAAAGTTCACACACAGCATTGGATCTGTTGTCAGCTGACAAATTTCAGAGGATATTAAAAAAAAGAAGCAAAATATAATTCCCAATCACTATTAGGAAGCCAAAATAGCTCCCACATGCATTCAAGGGTTTTTTGAAGAAATAGCAACAAAAGGTTGAATGGTTATAGAAAAAAAATCCTTTTGTTTTTTTTTTTTTTAAAAAGTGGAGTTTGATCATAGAGGACAAAAACTGAAAAGAGCCAAAAGCACATCACGTGCTTGGCCGTGTGTCACACACAGGAGCAGGCCCCTGAAACACACTCCTGTGAGACCTGTTACCTTTAAAACGATCTCAAATGCAAAAGTACCAGTGAAGACATAATCTGCATAACCTAGCATCTGGAAGGTAAACAAAGAATTGCCAGCGTTATTGCTACTGCTGTGTTAGAGTACGCAAGGATCCATGAAAAAGCCGTTACCTTCAACAGGATTTCAACAGTAAAGATGGCTGTGAAAGCATAGTCAAAGTAACCCAGTATCTGCAAGGCACAACACGTGGAGATGAGAAAATGGCATCCAGACAACTCCCGACAGCCACACGCCCACATGCGCTCAGAGACCCATCATCCCGGAAGGAGCCTGTCACCCTGGAGGGAAGTGCAGAGATGCTCCAAGGGCCCCACTCGGTCCATCAAAGAGCTCTGGGCACACTTACCTCCTGTGACCACTCCTGCTGACTCCCCTCCCAGCCCTGCGTTCTGGGCAGCAGAGGCTCACTTAGGCAAGTGTTTTATTAATAACCTTTGTTCATCGGCACACGATGCTGATAAGATACTTGTGGTGTCAGATTAATTAGTCTTGCACACATTTTAGATCTTTAACTGCCCTTTTGGTAGAATGAAATATGCTGCCCTCCAGCTGACCTTCAGATTGGAGGGAAAATGTAAACAAAGGTATAAGTGGTGTTCAAAGGGGGTCATATCCCCTCTAATTCCCACCCATTCAGTCAGGGAGCCAACACCTTCCTCCACCGACGTGCCAGGCTGGGTAAATCTGTAAGAAGAGTTTCACTGATCCTCTTCCTCCTGCCTGCTCCTCTGTGTCTAACACTGCATTCTCTCTCAAGGCAGGTTTTCTCCTCGCTGGGCCCATTTTATCAACACTCCCCAAAACACCACCGACTTTCTAGCCGCTGCAGTCCTGTATCCCCTCCTGGGGTCCCTGCTTCTCCACAGATCTGCAGGGGCAGGAGGGAGGGCAGGCACGGCAGCAGGCGTCAACTAAGGACGCTCACGGGAAGTCCTCCGCCACAACAGGGCAGCTCGGACCCTCCGGTGGGACCGGCCACCTTGGCTGCTTATCTTCATGACAGTTGGGCTATGCGGTTTGGGGGAACTGAAGAGACCAGCGCCGGAAGGTAACCCATGGAGCCCGCCCGGGCTGACTCCGTTCATTTCCCAGATGCGGATGCTGAGGAGAGAGGCATCTGCTCAGGCCAAGCGGCCAGTCTCTGAATCACCGAGCACAGGGCCAGGGCTTTGAGATGCTGGTTGAGAGCCCTGGGCCCTGCTATGTGCGTGTGGGACCCACCCCAGGGGAGTCCTCACTGCTGGGAGACTAAGCCGAGAACCTCTGCTTCAAACTTTGGGTCCTCCCCAAAGTTCTCTCTTCAGACAGCATTATTCATTTTCCAAATTGCTTTCATTTGGGGATTTATAAATTTTGCTGGAACACTTCTTGTGTATCTGTGTTTCTGGCCAGCCAATTAAAGGTCTTTTCCAGGACACCACGGAGGGCGCCCACAAGGAACCCTGTCCCTCACCCTTATCCCCTCCGAGGTCGCAGCAGGTCTCTCTGTGTGTTGAAAGCGGGTGGGGAGCCAACAACCCAGCCTGGTACTGAGGGTCAAGGCCCTCAGACTCAGGTTGTTCTCTACTCACTCTGCCTACTTTTTCTTTTTCACTAATAACTCAGCTAAGGTTAAAAAAAAAAAAACACTGCTAGATCCCAGCTATATGATGTATCTAAGGTAGTTAAACTCACACACAGAAAGCAGACGGGTGGTTGTTGGGGCTGGGGCAGGTGGACATGGGCATAAAGCTCCCCACATAAGGTGAGTAAGCTCTGGAGATCTGCTGTCCAACATGGTACTCAGAGCTACGGATACTGTCTTGTATCCTTAGGAATTTGTTAAGGAAAATCTCATGCTAACTGTTCTGACCACAGTCAAAGAAAAACAGGGCAATATTTTTAAGAGCAAGACACACATTCATGTGAACATCTATTTAAAAAGAACAATAACATTTGCTGGAAAAAGCACGAGGGAAATAAACACATGGGGAAGTAATTACAAAAAAAATTAGAACATGAGGCCCGCAGGTAAACAAACTCTTGGTCAACCTGTGTTCTAGGACCAGTTTGTGACCTAGTCTGTCACACAATGGTACTTTTTCCCAAAACAGCTTTTCCCCTTGTGTCTCATCTTTATGATGGAACTGATGACATCCTATTGGGCCCTGTTCCATCTGAGCATTTAGATAGAGACCTCAGGAATCTTAACAAAAGCTGTAACCCCTGGGTACAGGTTGAGACAGGCTCAGGGCTCCATCTTTACGTCACCCAACCATGCTTTGAGGGGAAGATCTTTTCATCTTCATATCAGGATGCCCATATCTCATCAGTCTCACGGACTGGGTTTGCCAGGCTTCAAACCAAAAGCACAGGAAATGGAAAGACAGCACAGGGCTTGGTGGTCACAACTGAAATCATGGGGCACCGATCTGGTGACTTGTCTAAATCCAGAAATCTCAAAAATCTCTTGTACAGAAAGAGGTACCAACGAGGCAAGGCAGCAACCTCTGACGGCCGTGCACACTTGGGGGCCTGCCTCCCCGGGCGGCTTTCTGGGAAATCAGCTGAAACGGCGCTACAGCCTCGAGGCCCGGCAGTCCATAGGCTCCTGTCTTCTGAAGCTGTCTTGCCTCTGGATTGTTCTCAGTGCTGACGGCTGACCTGCTGAGACTGAACCGCTCAGGCAGGAACTGACTTAGGTACCAGTCTCTGCCCAACACAGATGCGAGGCAAGGGAGTCAGGCCTGAACTATGAAAACTGATTAATAATAGAAGATTAAACCCTCTGTTCTCTTCTGTAAAGCCACCTCCTGCCCCAAACTAACCGAGACTTGGGTCTTCTCCGCTGAATGCCTCAGGTCCCCGATCTGTCATCTCCCTGACTTGTATTTCTAATCAGTAACAGCAGCTGTGTGAATGTGAGTCCATATAAGATAAGTCTTCCTGCCAACCCCAAATAAGAGCCCCCCAGGCATGTAACACACCAGGTTTCGATTTTATTTTCTCTCTGCTGGATGCTGCCACCAGCAGGAAACCTCAAAACAGGTGTGCACATGAATTTGACTGGGAAGGGGAAAAGAGGAATCAAAATGTTGGCAGTGATGCAGAGAAGCAGGGCTCCTGAATACACTGTTACTACTGAGTATCTGAAATGAGGTGTAAAATATATAATTCAATAGAGGTTTGTGCCCATAAAAAACCTGTCTGGCACAGACAAATCTGCAGCATAAAATGCCTGCAGGGGAAGGAGGCGCCCCCTCGAGCTTTGACCCTCGTGGCCCCTGCAGGCCCTGCCTGGACGCCGGCCTCTGCCTGAGAGCTCAGTGCTGACCCGGGGGGCCCCGCCCTGCCATCCTCGCTGGGGGCTTACAGTGTTCCGGAAGGAGTGGCTGCGGATGGGGTCCTCAGCGGCGAGGGCGGCGCTGCTCAGCATGATGAAGACGAGGATGAGGTTGGTGAAGATGTGGTGGTTGATGAGCTTGTGGCAGCCCACGCGGATCCTGCAGGAAGAGCCACCGCACGGATGAGCCCCGGAAGGGCCCGAGCCCGCCGGCCAGCGCTCTCAGCACGCTGGGGCCACTCCGTGGTGATGGACCAGGCGGAGGACGGCTGTCCGCGTGCCGCCCAAACCTCCACCCAGCAAACTGGAACCACCAGACCATTCTTTCCCCGAAACCCTGAGGCTTCTGTGTGGACAAGCCCCGCAGACCATTCACCGCGTCCTGAAAAGCGGGGATACCGCCCTTCTAAAGGTGAAGAAATGGAGGCTTCAGCTTGTGAAAGAACTTTCTTAAGGTGACCCAGCTATGGGAATTCCCTGGCAGTCTAGTGGTGAGGACTCTGCACTCTCACTGCCAAGGGCCAGGGCTTGATCTCTGGTCAGGGAGCTAAACTCCCAGAAGCCCCGTGGTATTGCCACCCCAAGTCCCCAGAAAGGTGACTGAGCTAGTAGGGGACCAAGGCACACTTCCAATCCAGGTCTGATGGTGACACTTCCCCACTATAACATGAACCCAGCAGCTCCCATCTCCTGCCTTGGAACACAGACCGAGGTCAGAGTTCATCACAGCCGCTCACACAGAACAGGGGTGACCCCAGCAGTCAGGCTGCAGCCTGACCTGACCTCGGGGAGCAGGGTGTGTGGACATCCTGTCAGAAGTGCTATTCTGGGGGCAGCTGACCCACAACAAGTGCTGCTGAGAAAGTCAAGAGGAAGTCACATCATCATATAAGAATCTCACAAGGATCTCCCTGCTCCGGGTGAGGCGAAGCCATCGCAGGCTCCTCCGGTCCCATGAAACAAGGAGGGCAGCATGTGCCCAGCACCCCAGCCCTGGCCCTCACAACAGCTCCGCAGGCCGTCAGAGCCTCTCCCGATGCCCCTGACTTCCCAGGGACTACTTAGTATAGTCACTGCCTGACTTCCCTTAACCTCAGTATTTGACTTCAGAACTTCACTGTTGGGTTTGTTTTTTTTTTTTTTTTGGTCTATAGAATACATGCAGGTTTTCCTTTGAAAAGTTTTTTCCACTTTAAAAACCAGAAGTCAACTTTATATGAAGGTGATGTCTTGCTTCGTTTTTTTCCCTCTGGGGCTGCTGAATGCCTGGCTGTGGTCCCTGGAGGGCTGGCAAGCTGTCAGCAGCTGGGGAAAGCCTGACAGTGCTGTGAGGGCAAGAAGTGCTCAAAGCTTTGGGGGCAAATGGAATTCATTCCTCCCATATAAGCAGACACAGTAAGCTGCAGGTGTCAGTGAGGAGGCTGAATAACTTTTTAAAAGAGATATGCAAACTCTCAACAACGATGAGCTGTAAAAACTACCATCCAGGGATTCCTGGAGGTTCGGTGATTAGACTATGCCTCCCAATGCAGGGGGTGCAGGTTTGATTCCTGGTCAGGGAGGTAAGATCCCACATGCCTCAAGGCCAAAAAGTCAAAACATAAGACAGAAGCAATATCACAACAAATTCAAAAAAGATTTTTAAAAATGGCCCATAAAAAAAAATAGATTACCATCTAATCTTCAACTCTGTAAGAACTGTACCCGCCTTGCTTCTCCCTGTGTCTCCCTGGCGCCTGAGAATTTACAGATTTCTCCTCTGACAGCCCAGAACTGCTTCTGCAATTCCAGCAACCTTTCCAGGAGCCATCTATTCCTCCTGGCATTTCACTCTGTCCCAGATGATTTAAAACCTAGAAACCAGCTAGTAAACACATCTCTTCCTCTTACAGTACTTGTGAGTAATTACCAAGTTCCTGGCAAGCACTGGATCATTTTAACAGGAGAAATGCTATTTTAAGCAGGCGATCACGGAGCTGAGCTGAATAGCTACCACTTATAAAACATCACTGAGCAATATTGGTATATCGCCATCAAACTCAATTGGGAAGTGATCGGCTACCCTGGGCCTCTGAGTGAAGATGTTCAGGAAGTTGGTCAAAACCCTCAACTCCCACAGCATCTTACAAAGAAAGGGTCCTTTGGATGGAAAACACTTCACAGGTGATGACCCACAGAACACCAGAGCCTCAGTACCACACCACTGCCGTCCCAGTGCGGGGGTGTGTGGGAGCGGGTCCAGAATAGCACTTCTCCCAGGACCTGGTAACCCCCCTATAGCCCCTGTCCGGGTACAGAAAGGCCAGGAAGAGATGAAGAGAGGGCAAAGGCAAGGCTGGAACAGGACAGGGGTCAGTGGGAACGGGGGGCCTTAACGCTCAGGCACAGAAACGGGCTGTGAACCATCGTCCCTTGCACTGCCCGCCCCCCAACTCCCAGCCCCCAGCCACTCTCAAGCAGTCTGCAGGGTCCTGGGAGAGACAGGGCAGCCACGGGACTAGAAAGTGGATATTTACGGGTTGGTCTTGCTAAGAATGAAGAAAGCGCTCCCTTCTGGGATGGGGGCGATTTTCTCTTTCATGTTCAATTCAGAGATTCTGCGAGGACGGGGGCCAGCAGGAACCTCGGGCTCATCCTCTTCCTCCTCCTCTTCCTCATCACCTACTTTAAAGGAGACACTTTTTTTTAATAGGCATGAAATAAGGCTTGCATTTGGGTTTGAACGCTCATTTTCAACTTCATATGAAAATGTGGCTTAAACTTTAACAATGCATATCAGCTTACACAGGGCTTCCCAGGTGGCTCAGATAGTAAAGAATCTGTCTGCAATGCAGGAGACCCATGTTCGATCCCTGGGTCGGGAAGATTCCCCTGGAGGAGGGAATGACAACCCACTCCCGTACTCCTTCCTGGAGAATTCCATAGACATAGGATCCTCGTGGGCTACATTAATCAAAACCCTCCAAATATGAACTGAGAGTGTGTGGGTTGGGGCTGAGAAGCGTTCTCATCTGGTGAGTGTGTGCCTTTGCAGGAATGAGGCCCCCAGTACTTTAAGGTCTGAGCACCAGACGAAGGTGCCAGCCCCCCACCACCTGGCTGCTTCCCCAGCAACCTCCACACTCAGCTTCAGCCTGATAAACTGTGTAGGGTTTGAAGTCACACACTGTCAGTCTCCCAGGCCCCCTGACTCCACAGGACCTTCCTCCAGCAGCCCGTCAAGTTCCCAGTCAAGGTGCAAGTGGCAGGTGAGTGTTGACCACTGGCCACCTCCTACAGAGATACCCAGCGCAGGCTGCACGTGCCCTGCTCCCCCTCCATGTTCTCTCCCCACCACCGGGTGTCTGGGTTCCCTAAGCCACCTGGGAAAAACCAGAGCTAACCAGGCCACAAGGGGACCGAACCCTTGGCCTCGGCAGCCTCAGCAGCCCTGCGTGAGCCCAGCTGGGCTGGCCACAGACCCAGGCGCTGATCAGCGTGAGGACGAAGCCATCACTCAAGAGCTGAGAGCCTGTCTCTGGTGTCCGCCGCATACCTGGCACATCACAGGGTGGGTATGGGTCCTTGTCCTCATCCTCTTCTCTGTAGTCATCAATGGTAACCTGGGAGGACAGAGAGGTCTTGGGAGGAAGGGAGACTCTGACTTAAGTGGACTCGAGAGGGGCAGGTAAAGACCTAACTCCGCCATTCAGCACGGGGTAGGGGTGTGATCTCCAAAGTGGGTGCTGTGTGAGTGTATCAGGAGAGCAGGTACCCCTGCTTCAGAGAGAAGGTCTGAGGGCAGATGAGGAGCAAACTGGTGTCACCCCTACCCAGCCATGGACAGCCAGCACCACCCAGCACTGGTGCACATGCTACATGAGAATCAACTTGCAGGCTCCTGTATCCTTGCCAGACTGTGAGCCCCAGGTGAGCGAGGATCTCACTGGTGTTGGTCAGTCCTGACACACAGTCACCATTCAGGAAGGATTTACTGACTCAGTGAATAAATCAACAAATTAAGGGAAAATCCACAGCTGACACAGTGCCTGAGTGTTCACGGTAGGGCCCTGAGCGCCCAGACCCTCTGATCCTGAGACACATCCCACCAGCCCCGGGGACAGACATCTATTAGCAATCTTTGATTTCAGTCCCTACTGAGAAGATATGGACACTGGTCAGGTGTGACCACACCATTCCAATCAAGAAAAAATAAGGTATCAGACCAGTTAAATACGTATCACACCAGCTCTCTGTTTGAAGTACTGTTAACAACCAGTTAAGTGTCCCACTTCACGCAGACCCTCCTGGAAAGCCAGCATCTGTGATGCGGTGCTACGCTTTCACTTTAAAATAGCACACACAACACTGCCATGGTATGAAGGTGATACATTTATGGTGATATCAACAGAATTATTTGAAAACAAAGCGGAAAATGTAACCTATACCTTGTTGTCACTGTTGGCTATCTGGTTGACTTCTGGTTTGTTGTTCTTTTTATTTTCCAGACTTTCTTTTCTACAGAGAAGAGAACAGAAGGAACCAAGTAACCATCCTGTTTTATATAAAAAAAAACTAATCAGGATTTTGAATCAACAGCGGCCCACTTAATTGGGAACAACCCTAACAGCAAGAATATAGCACAACCCACACTCAGTTCATCTCAGTGCACTGGATTCATAACACAGATCATCTTATTAGAATTCTCATCCAAGGGCTAATCAGCATTGGACGCATCATTTATTTTACGATGCCAGAATTAACTGCAGAGATTCATTAAGCATGGGGACGTGACTCGTACTTTCAGCTTCAAGGGAATGAGAGCCAAGGGCCTGGGATCTGCCCAAGAGTCCATCTTTTCTGGTCAGCCTCTTCGGCCAGCCACCATCCCCACAAAGCGGTAGTGGCATGGGAAGCCCAACAGGTCGCACCTACGACTGGCTCCCTGGGTCGAAGCCTTCATTCAGCAAACCTCCCCCGGGCAAAGGTGGTTACCTGGCAATCTTTTTCCTTTCCTTTTCTTCAGCTTCCTCCTTCTGAGCAGTATTCAAACTTTCAGCGTCAGCCAAATTGTCTACTGCAATGGCCAAGAAGACATTCAGTAGAATATCTAATTTGAGAATGTTAAGGATGAAACACGGTTCTAAATACAGGGTCAACAATGGCAGTGTCACACCCCTGTGCTCGAGAGGCTGGTGACAGGCTGACTGTCCCCTCGTGCTATATTCACTTGGTAAAGCCAGGAGATTGGAGCCCCATTTTACAAAAACAACCAGAACCTGTAGAAGATAAGCTAGCCAGAAGCAAAATTAAGATTCACTAAAACCCATGAAAACCTACAAATGCCAATATTTCCCTTTGTGTGTGTCTTACCTGTGTGTCTGTGCATCTAGGTATCTACTGGTATGAAACACACTGCATAAAATAATCTGTAACATAAATGTAATGTTTTTACACATGTTGCATTTCACTTTATGCACTGTGTTTTCTTTCTTCTAAAACATGCACACCCACAACCTATCTATCTGGGGTGTGCTCTCCAAAATAAGACCCCAAGAAAGGCTATACCTTATTCAAATGATGATCACACAAGGCAGTCTGGGCCTTTCTCATTTGAAATGACCTTCCAAGTCTGCAGATACCTCATTCATTCATTTCACACTGACTGACTAGAGCACATCTAACTTACTGCCAGATGTGCTGGCCTGTTCTTCTGCATTGTCACACAGTGACTACATCTTTGACTCTTGTGGTTGATTTTTACTTTTTTCCAAATAGTAGAAAGTTAGGTAACTGGACAAGTTACTAGCTTTTCGGCTTTTACTATAATGTTGTTTCTATAGTTTCCTTGAATGACTGAAAAAAAACAAAAAACAAAAACATACTCTGAAGATGCCTGTTTCTTACTTGCCAGCAGTTAAGTACATTTTGGAGAAGCATAGGGATCAGAGGGCAACAAACAGGTCAACGTGACTCCCTTCTCTCACTGATGCTTCCCTCTGGCTGATGCAAGGCCATCTGCATGCAAGACAATGGGAGCCCAGGAGCCCCTCGACAGGAGTGGCACACCACGGTCCCACACGCCCAGCGCAATCTGAACTCTCATGTGGGTTGCTGAACATGTCAACAAATACAACCTAACAAGGCACTGATAATGAGCGAGCTTCAGGGGATGTCATGCTTGACTAACCTATTCAAGTCTTTAAAGAGGGTAGAAATGTGAGTAGCTTCTATTAAGACTGTCAAAACACCTCTGATACACTAGGATTACTTATTAAACAGAGCTGCAAGGCAGTTTGTTCTGGGCTGGCCGATGATTTGGCAACATGAGCTCTCCTCTGATGAACATGGGGTAATTGTGGCTCAGAAAATGATCAGTGCTGGGAATAACTGCACTGAGAATTCCTACTAATGACGGCAATGAAGAAATACTGTGTCTCTAGTCTAACAAGGACACCAGATTCTTTCAGCAGTAGAAAGCAAACCCAGAGTAACAAACCACAGGAAAGTCTTACAAGATTGTAACAGATGGTTTGCAAGAGCAAATACCCAATAGATGTATTTAGAGGTATTACCCACCAGACCCTCCTAAACACTGGTGTGCTGTGGAATTCATCTGACAAGACCTGCCAAACACCTCTGACATGCTGGTTACAGTTCTGGGAGCTGCGGACATGAGAGGAAACAGGACAGACTGGAGGCCTGGCTTCCAAGTAGCATCTATTCTAGCTGGGGAGACAGACCACAAACCATTTAAGGACTGCAGAGAGTGATACACCCACTATAAGAAACTACAACATCTAACTAGAGGGGAAAATGGCTAGAGAATACTTCGCTGCAGATTGGAACCAGTATATGACTGTGGCCTAGAGAATTAATCATGAGAAGAACAGAAAAGAAAATACTGATCATTCATTTAACAAACACCGAGCAAGAGCCAACTGTGCATGATCTTGTGGTGTAAGTCACAAAGACGTGACTACAAAAAGAGACTGCGGACTCAGGAAGCTTATCGCCTAGTACTAGTTGGCAAGATGGAGAACCGCACCCCAAACTCCAGCAGGAGCCGACCGTGATGAGGGGAGCATGGGGAGAAGCTGGCGGGAGAGCTCCCCTTGGGGTGGGGGTGGGCAGTGTGGCTCCCCGCAGCAGGATTTGTGCGTGCTGGGAGACAGGCTTCCGCAGAGGACTCTGAAGTACAAAGCGTTGTTCTCACAGGCTTGCAACTGGGTTTCCACCCTGAAGAAGGTTCACTGACAAGCCAGAGAAAATGAAGGGGAAAACAGCCCAACAGACTTCTTAGAAGAAGATTCTAGACTAGGATTCTTTAAAATACAAAAGTGAAGACCAAGGGGCAGTATTCATACTTCGGTCCAAACTGTTCTTTCACTAAGCATTAATCAAGGAGCTCCATGTGCCAGGTCTGGTGCCAGGGCAGGGAGGGCACAGAGAGAAAGCAGAAAGGGGCTGAGCGACATAAAGGGAGGTCTGAATTTTCAGAAACCTAGGGTTACAGTGACTCTGGTTGGGAAAAGGAAGAAAACAAGTCAGGGAAAGCACAACAGAGCAGCTGGCCAAGGGACACGTGATCCCCAAAGATGTACAGAGCAGCAGAGCAAAATGAGGATCAGGGGACCTCAGATCAATCCACTGAAGATACGTCCCCATCCATTCTGAAGGGTCTTAGGAAGTCAGAGATGTACCCCTAACCTTTTAATGGGGCTTAGAGTGGGCCACCGCAAAACATGCCAAGGTGGCATGTTGATGACTTTGAATTAAAGTTATGTGAGAGACACCTGGTACAAGAAGAATATGCTGACCCACGTCTGTTCCCCTGAAAGCAGGTAACAAGCTCCCTGAAAGGGCCTACTCCCTAAGCCGGGAGGACAGTGCTGGCAATAGGGGATCTGAGGTTGAGAAGGCTTTACAAACAAAGCTTGTGACTTGTGCATTACTTTGCTATCCTAAGCAAACACTCGTTTTGTCAAATCTTCAGAAATAATTGATATTGTCTCTGGAAATATACGTGAAATGTATATGAACAGCCTGCTTTAGTTATTTCTTAGGTCCTATACCTATGGGGTCTTCGTATGTATGAAATTAAATATGTTTTCCTATTAATCTGTCTTACGCCAATTTGATCAGTAGCCAGTTAAAAGACCCTGGAAGACAGAGAACGCTTTTCCTCCCGACACTCTCAGGGAGACAGCACACAGGGCACAGAGTTTCGTCCTGAGCCGTCCCTTGGGATGCGATGCCACGTGGAGTGGGTGACCACTGGTGCAGCCCACGTGCCGCCTCAGGTTGCCTCCGTGGCTGCTCTCAATCCTCAAGGCCTGGTGGACACTCTGCTGCTCCTCTGCTGTCCCAGCAACAGTGGAGGACACACAGGAGCGAGGTGAGGACGCTCACTTTCCCATCACCCTGGCCACCACCGCCCCCACCCCGGGGAAACTTGGAGAGGAGGACAGCATATGGTGACGATAAGGTGGCCCCGGTCAGCCAGAAGGATACAGTTACCGCAAATGAAGAGGATGATGAAGTAGATGCAGACGATCATTCCAGAAGATGATGGGCCCCCGTATGCCATGATACCGTCATACATCACAGCATTCCAGTCTTCGCCTGTCAGGATCTAAGAAGCCAAAACTGGGATCAGCGGGCAGGTGGACTCACAATTCCCATGATTCTCCCAAGCTCCTGGGGCTGCCTGGGTCTGGCGTACGCTGCCTTGCACAATTCAGTTTGCACAGAACAAATGCATCCCTCAATCCATAGTCTTCAAAACATTACACTTAATTACACAAATACACGAGTTAATTATCCCAGTGAAAATAAGATAACATTCCACATAAGACGTGTGTACTCTTTGACTGCACATCCAGCCCCTGCTGATGTCTCTCTCCAGGATCGCTGACTGTCTGTACATTTAAACACAAATATTCATACCTGAAGAAAACAGGCAGTTGGTATCTTATTTATTTATTAGAAATAGAGGGTATCATACTCTTTGAATTTTCTGCAATTTGTTTTTTATTCTCCCACTCAATGATGTATTCTGGAGACCCTCTGTGTCACAGGATCACTTCATTCTTTTTAACTGCTGCCTAGCATTCCTCATGCTTAATCAACTGTAGAAATGGAAAATCATATCTACGATGTGAATCACTACCAAACAGAAATTTGCCAAATGATTGGAAAAGGTAAAGCAATTCGTACAGAAGGAAATATAAATGGTTCCTGGTCACATGTAAAGATATTCAACCTCACTCCTAACAAAAGTAGTATCAATTAAAACTACAATGAGAGACCACTTTCATTTACCAGACAGGTGGTGATCAAAACATTTGTGTACTCACTATGCTGAAAGAGAGTGAGGCGACAGACAGAATCCACCCCCATCTAACCTTAAAGAAAAGACTTAAGCAAGAGTGTCAAAGTTGAAAATGGACACACCCCCTTCAAACCAGCAATTCCATTTGAGGGGATTTATCCTATAGATCTGATATCACACACGAGCCCCACGATGTGCATTCAAGGCCACCCACTCAGCCAAGACACAGTGGAATATTCATTCACCAGCAGGAGACCAGTTCCATGAATTATGGCAGCTCAACCAGTGCTCTGTGACAACCTCGAGGGGTAGGATGAGGAGGGAGACGGGGCGGAGGTTGGGGGGGGGCGGTGGTACATGTCTACCTGTGGCTGATTCATGTTGATGTATGGCAGAAACCATATAGTAATACTGTAAAGCAGTTATCCTCCAATAAAAAATAAATGGAGGCAGCATTGAAAAGGAAGAGGCACCTTTTTATGGACCAATAAAAAAGACTCTTAAGGACACTTTAGGTGCTAAAAAGAAAGATGAAGAAAGCATGTAGAATGAGCCACCATCTGTGTGAATTCATCTGATTGTAGGTAGACAAGTAAATTTATTTACGTCTGAGCAAATACACTGGGAGAATATAGAACAATCTGCTTAACGGTGGTTGCCTCCCACAAGGGGAAATTGGTGGCTGGGTTGGAGACAGACCTGCTACTTTATATGCTTTTCTAACATTTAAATTCTGTGCCATACACATGTACTACAAAAACCACCACCGCCATGCAGGTTTCTCTGAAAGTATCAAAAAAAACAAAACAAAACAAAATGAATGACTCATCAGTGGCCAAAAATTAAGTTAAATTCAAAAAGCTGAGCTAGGGGACTTTCCTGGTAGTCCTGTGGCTAAGAATCCTCCTGCCAATGCAGGGGACACAGGTTCCATCCCCGGTCTGGGAACATTCCACATCAACGCGGCAACTGACCCATGTACCACAGCTGCCGAGCCCATGCGCTGCAACTGTGGAAGCCCGAGAGCCTAGAGCCTGTGCTCGGCAGAGAGGACACTGCAGTGAGAGCCTACGGGCCGCGATGACGAGCAGCCCCTGCTTGCCACAACTAGCGGAAATCCAAGCACAGCAACGAAGACCCAGCGCAGCCAAAACTAAACAAAACTGGGCTATATTATACTGTACTGTGATAGACCAGGCCTGTTAGCAGGGGCAGCAATTCCATTCTCTTCAAAACGTCCCAGTAGGAAAGAAACTTAGAGATCATTCCTCCCAGGCTCTCATCTCTCAGAAAACAGTGACTTTACAAAGTCACAGCACTGAGCAATGGAAGAGCCACCGTGGGGGGTCAGGCCTCCCTCCAGGCTGCCCCGCCCGGCCTGCAGGACTCGCTGGCATTACGTGTGAAAAGCAACAGATGGGTTTTTAAAATTCACCTGCCAGGCTCTGTCCAAGGAAGGCCACGATACACAAGGAGGGGGGTTTGAAACATCTCAGGTGAGAGCCAGGTGGAGTGGAAAGGCTGGGCCTCTGAGGGCAGGGCCACCTGTGAAGCCCCAACCCTGGGGCCTGCTTCTCAGCCTGATGTCCACCAGGGCCCCGCCAGCACAGACATCCTCAGAGTCCGTGTGTCCCCATTCCATCACACGAGGGAGGACAACAAAGGGACCGCCGTTGTCGCAACTGTTTAGTCACCCCGATTCCTGAGCACACACCACAGCATCAGGGCTTTAGAAGTCACATCTATGCATAAATCCGTTATAGCCAGGATTATAAAACTTGCCTGCCATCAAGAATGAGCAAAGTGCAAGAAGAGCATTTTAGACCCTATGAAACCCCAGAAACCTCATACAGTCAAACACAAACATGGGGTTTATTATTTCATAAGACATCCAGTGGTCTCACAAACACATGAGATCACAGCACATCCCTCTGGACTTTGATGCAAAATAAATGACTTATATGGCACGAAATTAATCAGTGTTATTAGGACAGAAGTTGCTGATACTGTGATGATGGAATCATTTTGCCTTGTTGAGTCGTGGACAGATGAGACGGTGTCTCCAAAGGCGCCGCCCAGGGAGAGGAGGGCGGGGCACTCACCTGGAACACTGTGAGAAGCGCTTGCGGGAAATTATCGAAGGTGCTCCGCTTGGTTTGCGTTTCGTCAAAATTAAACTTGCCGCCAAACAGCTGCATCCCCAGCAAGGAGAAGATGATGATGAAGAGAAAAAGCAGAAGCAACAGCGAAGCGATAGACTTCATGGAGTTTAACAAGGATGCCACCAAGTTGCTCAGGGAGGTCCAGTGCCTGTAAGTCAAGACGAGGGGGTGAGCCTAAGGCGCCGCCTGGGGTGCAGCAGATGGTCCCCCCAAGTGGGGTCAGGGCTGACCACCACCCACGGTCGGGAAACCCCTGCAGCAAGCGCACGCGTCCTCACCTGGTCACTTTGAAAATTCTCAAGAGCCGCACACAGCGGAACACAGAGATGCCCAGGGGAGACATGATTTCCAGTTCCACCAGGATCGTCTCGGTAATTCCGCCGCACACCACGAAGCAATCAAACCGATTGAAAAGAGAGACAAAGTACGCCTGGAGACCCAAGCTGTACATTTTGACCAGCATCTCACAGGTGAACAGAGCCAAGAGGACTTTGTTAGCGATATCTGGAAACACAAGGAGCACGTGTCCGTGGGATCTCACCGTGGGAGCATCTCTGACCCCTGTCCCCCCACCTCCCTTCACCCCAGGCTCTCGGTCCGTGGTTTTGCTCTCGCCCTCTTTACAGATATGTGGCAGGAACACCCGTGGTCCACTTGTCTTCCAGGCTCCAGTCCTGCTTGTGCTACCACCCAGACGTGCGCCCCCTGGAGAAGTTCCTTGCTTTCTCTGGGGTTCACTTTCACTGGCAGTACAATGGGGAGGGGCAGCTTCACACATAATCTCTGCGGCTTTCAAGGCCTGAAAGCCTACAAGTCTGCATTTAGACCATCGTATTATTTTTGTTTGTTTCAGTCACACAAGAAATCTGTCTGGTCTTGCGTACAGCCCCAAGATCTAAGAAACAGATGCCTGTCAAGGTCACTTCAGAAAATGCCACCCAGCAGGCTGGAGAGTTGAGTAGAAACAGATTTGACTTGACGTCAGGCAGGACTTCACAACGGCTCAAAACTGTCCAACTAGGAGTGGGGTGAGCTCCCACACCACCCTGCTGGGGCATTCGAGGTGGGCGAAGAGCCACCACTTGCCAAGGAAACTACAGCAGAAAATAAAGCTTCCAGTGGGCACAGGGAGGAGGGATATGGGGTCCCTTCCAGCTGCCAGATTCCTTGATCCCACACAGGGTTCAGACAACGAGCTGCCCTGGAGTCATTAGCTCCAAGGTGCATCACACACCACACAACCCGGACCGCACACTCTCGCCAGGCGCACCTCTGCCTGGCTCTGCCACCCTCCAAGTTCCACTGCTCACTGGAAATGGTCCTGGACAATCACACGTCCATCCGAAAAGACTAGACTGCAGCTGGGCAGCCTCGGGGATCCCCTGTTTGGAGCAAAAAGGGAATGGCTTCTGCTTATACCTTGAATCTGTGTCAACCAGTCAGGCTGGTTGTAGTGCTCGGAGGAAATGGTTAAGGTGTTGAGAAACACCAGGACAATGACCAGCCAGTAAAACGTGACGGACTTCACGGCGGCCCTACACCTTCTGCGACTGAAGCGGTTCCAGCGGCGCCAGCGGCGGCTGCAAGAGAAGCAGACGTTACCCCCGGGATGACAGACAGACAGACGCAGCACCTGATCAGTATCGCTAAGGAACGACTGCACTCCGGAGCTCCCCACCAGGGCCGGGGTGCAGGGAGGAAAGATGAGAACAAATGACACAGAAATGACCCGACCTCATAAGACAAATAACGTTGGTTTTGAAATATGACTTCTTAAAAGCACAGTATTGACTTGACCGTGCTATCAGTTTCCTTCCTATGGCTTCAGATAACCCCGTAATTTGTCATATGCAGCCCTCGAGGCGGTAGGGAAATCTAGATGTTCAGAGTCACCAGCTTGTACACATCCACAGTTCACGTGCCCACCACGAGGCTCTCAGGTCTGACTGAGCTGTCAGTGCAGAGAGACGCCAGCTTATCATCCACATCTCTTGCAGCACCTTGATCATCATGTGGAATTTATCCAGCAGCCAAGGGCTCCCAAACCTGAGTTTTCCAACCCTTCAGTCCTTTCATAAATCTGGGAGGCAGCTCTGGAGCCAGAGAGAGTCATCAGTGCTGAGTAGGACATGAGCCTTACTCCTGAGTCATCAGGTGCCCTTTCTAACTAGCGATGCTCAAAATATACCTTTAGGAGGAGAGCTAATATTGAATCATGTTTCCATACAAATAAAATGAACTGAGCCAAACAGACAAGCAGCATGTTCTCTACCAGTTCCCAGTTGCAGGATGTAACTAGACTATTCTCTGCCTCAGCCTGTCTCCCTACGGGAAACATTCCCTGCCACAGGATGGTTTGGTGAAGGGGGTCTCAGGGAAGGGCTGGCCGAGTGGCAGCGTCAGCCCGCTCCAGGCTGTGCTCACAGACTGGGGTGGTGGGTGCCTCCTCTAGCACTTGAGTCAGGAAAATCTCCAGGCTGTGTCAAGGCTGCAGCCCTGGCTGACTCAGCTGCACTGCCCTGCTGAGAACACTGTAACCCAGGGACCAATGAAAGACATGTGCCAACTCTTCGGCAAGACCTGGAACAAGCGAGGTGCATTGTATTCCTGCTCTTACTATGTGGGTTTCCGATGGCAATAGCAGCTGGAAACGTGATAACCAGAGTAGAAAAATTCCAGTGAGGACACTCAAAACTTCCCACAAGACTGGGTTTCTCCCATGATGCATAATGCAGTACATACAAGCAAGGTGGCCTGAACGACATCCAGCCCTGGTGGGTTTATTCATGCTGCAGGGACAAGTGACAGGTGTCGCCCACGTCCAGGGGAGGCACGGTCTGTGGCCCTATCCTGTAACAGTGTGAGGGCTGTAAGGGTATAGCAAGTGCTATGCCCAGGGTACTGGGTACAGGAGGAAGGAGAAGGGAGCTACAAAAGAGCTGAAGGGTCAGGGAAGGCTTCCTCAGAAAGCTGAGGTTTGGGCTGGCTCTCTCCCAATAGCTGAATAAGGATTAGCCAAGGGTGGACAGGGAGGGGGGCAGGTCACTCCTCTTAGCTCCCGCCAAAGAGACTTGGGTGGGAAGAACTGGAGTGTGTGGTCCATTTGACAGCTGGAGAGCAGTCCAGAATAACAAAGTGCAAAGTCTGGGAGTGGTGTCTAAATACCCCAGAGGTCAGAGGGTGATCTGGGGGCCAAATTACTAAGAAATTTAAATGCCCTCTGGCAACAGGAAATTCACGAAAGTGCTTTTCATTATGAAAACGCTGTTAATTTTTTTTTTTTTTTTGGCCTCGCCACACATGCCGTGGGGTCTTAGTTCCCCAACCAGCGATCGAATCCGTACCTCCCTCATTGGGAGTGCACAGTCCGAACTACTAGACTACCAGGAAAAGTCCCCTTAATTTTTTTTTAAGACAGGTTTATTAAGACATAACTTACATATGGCAAAATTGACTTCTTCTTAGTTCTAAAGTCTGTAATCACAACCACAGTGAAGATGTAGAACATTTCTATCACTCAAAAAAATTCCTTCATGGCACTTTATAGTTAATCCACTGCTCACCCTGGCCTCTCAAAACTACTGATTTGTTCTCTTTCTCTATTATTTTGCTTCATCCAGGATCCTATCAACAGAATCATACAAATAGATAGCTTTTTGAGACTGGCCTCCTTCATTTAGAAAAAGCTCATTTGTGATCCATTTGTGTTGTTGATCTCTCAGTAGTTTTTTCCATTCTCGTTGCTAAGTTTCAGTCCATCATATGGATGAACTATAATTTGTCTACCTTGCCATCTGATGGGCATCTGAGTAATTTACAGCTTTCAGCAATTAAAAATAAACATATAAATGTTGTGTTTATCAATTATACACAGATAATGTTTATGAATATAAACATTCATGCAAAATTTTTTGTGTAGGCATCTATCTTCATTTTTCCTATATAAATACCTTAGAGAATTGCTGGGTCATATGGTAAACATGCTGGACTTTCTAAGACACTGACAACTTGCTTTTACAATGGCTGTGTCACCTGACCTGTAGCAGGGTATAAGAATTTCCACGGATTTGCATCCTTGTCAAAATGCCAGCCTTCAAAATTTGATTCACTCTATAGGTGTGTCATGGTATCTCAACTGTGATTTTAATTTGCATTTCCTAATGACCAGTGGTCATTTCATGTGCTTATTTGCCATCTATGTGGACTACAGTCTGTCAGGCTCCTCTGTCCATGGAATTCTTCAGGCAAGAATCCTGGAGTGGATTGCCATTCCCGTCTCCAGGGAATCTTCCCGACCTGGGGATGGAACACAGGCTGCCTGAATTGCAGGCAGACTCTTTACCATCTGGGCCACCGGGGAAGCACCCTCTAAGACTACACGCCTACTAAAAACATACTGTCCATTTTTATTGGGTTGCTTTATTATTACTGATACTATTCTTATGTATACTGGATACTAGTCCTTTCTCAATTCTGTTTTGCAAATATTTTTTCCTCTAGTCTGCAAATGATCTTTTTCTTTCAAGAAGTAGTAGTTTTAATTTTGATGAAGTCCAATTCATCAGTTTTTTCTGTTATGACCAGTGCTTTGGGCATTATGCCCAAGAAACTTTTGCCTAACCCAAGGTCACTTAAATTTTCTATGTTATCTTCTAGGATTTTTACAGTTTTACAAAAAGAATTCCAGGGTCAGAGGAACTTGGTGGGCTATAGTCCATGGGGTGGCAGAGAGCTGGAAAGGACTGAGCAACCAACACTTCACCTTCAGTTCTATTCCACTTAAAGTGAATTTTTGTACACAGTGGTAAAACAGTTTCTAACTGAAAAATAATACTTATATGGCAAAGTAACAAATCTCTGGTATACAGTTCAATGATTTTTTACCAACTGATTATGTAACCTGCACTCAGAGCAAGTAAAACCATTACAAGCAACTCAGAAGACCTTTTGAACTTCCTTCCATGGGAAAAGTTTTCAGCACAAAAGTGACAGGAACTATCTCTCTTAGAGAAATGACTCTGGGAGGGTATACAAAAAGGGTTGATTAGGCAAACCATTATTCACGGTTGCATCTTACTGATCTGTTTTTTTTTGTCGGGGTGGGGGGTGGGTGGTTCTTTGGCACCTACTACAGTTCTACAAGGCAGGTACTTACTGTTTGCCGGGCACGTTGACCTTCTACATGAATGTTAGAGCCCACAGTGTAAAAAAATCAGCCTAGAGCAATTCTACATAAAGTTCAGAAGTCAGAACATAAAAAGCGCACTAAAGTTTAAAAAAATTATGGAAAGAAGACACTGACCTGAGCTTGGACTTTGAGATGGCTTGACTGAAAGAAAGACAGAAAGAATATGATTCCTGTTAGGAAGGCTACATGATATGTTCCCCTCCACATTTCAGCAGAGATACCATAAAAGCCATGCATGGAAGCCTGGACCCAGCACCCCCGGCTCCCGAAGTGAGCCAGCTGGGGTGAGCATGGAGCAGGGGGCCAGGCAAGAGAAGACTCTTAGCTGCCTGAGCAGCCCTGGCACAGGTGGAGATGCCAAGGGTTCTTCTCCCCCTCCCCAAACTGCTCACGCTGTAGCCAGTGGGGCTGATCCTGCCCAGAGCTCAGTCCCGCATCTCCACAACAGCACGTGCTGCTGCAACAATGAGAAGAACCCTGGGCCTGGAGCTCCAGCCCCGCTCTTTACTCAGTAGGAGAGCTCAGGCAAGCAGCACACCGTTTTGAGCCTCTCTGCTCATCTGTAAAATGGCAAAACAAACCCATTCCCTGCCTACTTCATGCTATTGTAGGAGGGCACAGCAGGAGGAGGAGGAAAATTTACTTCATAAACTGTTGAGTGTCCTTCTCCTAACATCATTTTTATGAATCTCCGCCGAGATCAGATTCTCTTAAAAATGATACCTGTACTCAACAGGCATAAGACCTAAAGGACACCAGCAGAAAGCAAACAGAAGAGAATTGCATGAGGCTCCCCCAAAGCAGGCGGTGCTCGGTGCACTGCGCGCGGCTGGTGTGCCTGCTGCTGCAGCCCAGCGCATCCAGTAAAAAGCCAATGGGTGCTCATGTGAAGGCATCCTCCAGGGTGAGGAGAGAGGGGTGCAGGGCTCCAAACAAACTGTATGAGCCAAGAAGGACAGGGTCTCTTTATCCAGCCACTGCGCATGAGGCTGGGAGAGCCCGTAAGTGACGGAAACTTAAACAGGGAGCACGTTCTATGAGCAGTTCTGCCATACAAGCCCTTCAAAGCACCGACGCCAGCACCAGGCTCAGAGAAGCCTTTACCCCCAGCGCCGACACCCAGAGGGCCCGGCCTTGGCAGCGCCTCTTCTTCTCCACCAGCACCTAATGGACACAGGGGAATTGCCGGGTTACCTGGCTCAGCCCGGGGCAGGTTCCATCTCAGCAGGACGGACCGCTTTGGAGGACGAGGCAGGTGACATGCTGGGGGCCTGGGGGGCCAGAGCTAGGAGGAGGACCAAGGGGTCCAGGGTGAGCCCGCCCACCCCTCTTGCATATGAGGCCATGGCTCCAGGCCCCACCGAAACCTGGGCGACTCACTCATATCTGCTTCTCTGAGGAGCCAGGAGGAGCCAAGAGGACAGCACCTCAGCCCCACTCACCAGAGACTCCCGCAGCAGCCTCGGTTCTCGCCTTCTCCGCTCACGTTCTCTGTGTTCACAGACTCCGTCTCACTGGTGGGCATGCTGGCTGCGGGGAGAAGAAACGCTTTACATGGTGCCGTGGCTCCAGGAGTTGGTGATGGACAGGGAAGCCTGGTGTGCTGCTATCCACAGGGTCGCAAAGAGTCGGACACAACTGAGCGACTGAACTGAACTGAGGGACTGGATGCCCTGCACGCCCAAGAACGCGATCTCTGCCTCCAAGATGAGCCTCTGGGAGGCTGGCCGGAGGGTGAGGAGCATGATGAAGGGCCCCCAGGTACCTGACTGGCAAAAGGAAGTGCTGAGAAGCCAGGTGTCTCCACAGAGGAGCCTTCACTTCCATGATCTGCTGAGGAAACCCAGAAGGTATCCCAGCAGGAAGAAAAACCCACTATCTAACTTCCCAAGGAAAGAAGCCTGGGGACCAAAGTGCACCCTGTTGCCGTGGCCAGTGCCAGCTTACTCTTCTGACTTCCAGGTTTTCCCTGAGAGGCTGTCGCAACATCTCAGTTACAGCTACATCTTTCCTCGTCCCCACAAGAAGTACTCTAGAACATCTGTGAACAAACCTAAGATTTCATAAACAAAGTCTTACTTTAAATATACTGAAGGAGAGGAGATATTATCAAGGAAGGAGCGTATGAAGGTACCAAGCAAAGAATCTCTTTAAAAATGGAAGTATTCAATTCATTTTCCGTTAATCCTATCTGATGTTCTTCTGCTCAGCTTGTGAAGCCAAGATGCTGAAGACTGTCAGTTAGATTAATAAAAAAGACACCGTTGACCAAAGATGCCTGCACTAGAGCTCAGTATACGGTCCTATGGGGGAAGAAGGTTTTCTCCCAACCAGCGACCAGAGGGCAAAGCTGTCTGTGGTCCCAGTGCACCAGTGTCTCCGGGCACTTCTCCCTTCCCCACAGCATGGTATCAGGCAGAAGCAGAGGAAATGCTGAAATGTACCCACTCAGGTCAGGAGGCCCAGGGACCCACTCAAGAGTCACCATCTGGCACACGGGTGTTTTCTTCTCCTCCACTGATTCAACCCTAGAAACGTCACCAACATGTGCTGGGGAGCAGGTGGCAGAGGAGGTGCGGGACACAAAGAGGGATCCAGCTCTGCACCTGTCCTGGAGGACCCAGGGGAAAGGCAGCATCCAGTGGACTTCGGTCCACCATGACCAGAGCTACCTCAGGGGTCTGGGCAAGTGCCGTGAGGACAACTCACTGTGCTCTGGGGTTAGGGGCCGTCATCAAAAGTTGAAACATGGGAGGATCACCCCACACGTGCATGTCTTTGCCCTGTTGCGTAGTTGTGAACTGCAGTGACCTTCTGGTTTTGGAGACCTGATGGCGTCAACAGGAAGGCCTTTCCCCTGCAAGCTCTGCCCATGTGGCTCCTCCTCTGAAGGATGCCTGAGTTTCAGCTGTAAAACCTGGCAGTGGAGCCTGGAGTGCCGTGGGGAGAAGTCTGAGGCCAGCCCAGACTGGCCTCAGGGCAGGGCAAAGGAGCGGGACCAGAGAGCTCTGTTGGTGCAGCTGCACGGCCGTGGACCCTGCTCGGGGGAGAGACAGGGTGTGAATGACAGGGATGGATGTGGACCTGACTTGATGGGCCCAGAGAACTGAGAAACATCTTTTATGATGCACCAAAGAAGACCCCTTCCCTTCTGTGAGCACCCAGAGGACTGAACCCGCCAGGGTGAGGGGGTCTCAAGAGCCATCTCCAGGCACATTGAGGCAAAGGCTTCAAACAAGAAGGCAAACTGAGCAGAATTACAGACAATATAATACAACCAGTACTCTCACTTTTCTTCCTTAGTCAAGTCAAAAGAAACCAACGACAAATTTGATTCACTTTTTCACAACTCCATGCAAATACAGACACAAAACCAAACAAAGCATAAACAAAAGCCCCACAATCCAATCACAGAAAAACCTTAAACAAAAAGCTCCATCAAGAGATAGAAACACACATACACAGGAGGCTGCTCATGCAATTTGTTTCTCCATGACTATTCCATGTCTGACTTCAGCAGAAAGACTAAAAAGTCCTAAGAGTCAGCCAAGTTCATTGTTACAGGTTACTCCCATGGGGTCACCCTTTTCTTCAGGAACCAAAGAAAATCATGGTGGGAGACCCTTACAGATATGACCAGGAGTCATCTCTGTGGAATGTTTTTCTTGGTGGTTACTGCCACCACTGAGGGGACAGAAGCTGAAAGCAGCAGGGAGGTGGGGGCCACTGGGTGGACGAGGGTTCTCGGGCTGCAGCGGGGTCCTGGCTCTGCCCTGGGCAGTCCCACCTCTCTCCAGGCTTCCCCAGGTCCGGTCTGTAAAGTGGGAACACTATCTGTACGCTCTGGGGGGTCACCTCCCTCTACAACAGTGTAATACTTCATGGTTCTAATATTAATCATGTTGTAAATTCAGCCAATATGTCCAAGGAGAGCAAACTTCTTTTCATGGGCAAAACTCTGTGGCTTTTTACTCTCTGGGGCCATGTCCCATGATGATATCAATAGAATCGCTGTGTGTAAGCTCTGGGAGTTGGTGATGGACAGGAAAGCCTGGTGTGCTGCAGTCCATGGGGGTCACAAAGAGTCTGGCATGACTGAGTGACTGAACTGCTAAACTGAACTGACTGAAATTCAGTCACTATTTCCAAGAAGAGCAAACTTCTTTTCATGGGTAAAACTCTGTGGCTTTTTACTCTCTGGGGCTATGTCCCATGATAATATCAATAGAGTTGCTGCGTTTCACTCTTAAAGCTTGTTTTTCAAACGATCTGATCCAAACAGATAACTCACAGCCTGCCCATGGGAAAGGTGGGGGGACATTACTTTGCATTTCTGGTTTCATGTCAACTAGTGAATGAAATGTACAAGCTACTTCACAGACTGAGGTTGGGGGTGCAGAGATAAGAAGTCAAACTGAACTCCCCAAGCAGAAACTGAGGCTGACTGTGGGGCACTGTGGCAGGACTGTACTGACGGAGAGGATCCTCCTGCTCAGCAAGCGGGCTCCATCCTTCAGGTGGGATGGGACAGTGGTTGACAGCAGGCCTCTCAGGTGGGCCAGGTCTAACTTTACCCCCACATTTGTGACTGAATATCTCCAAGGCTTCGTTTTTTCATCTGTTAAAATGGGGTGTACTTTTAACTTCACAGGGCTGTGGGCAGAACTGTAAGAGAGGAGGTACAGTTATCCACAGTGTCAGGCCATCAGTGAGGCTTCTACATGACGCATCCATCTTCTCAGAAAAGCTTTTCTGGAGCTCCCTGGAAGCAAGGGGACTCTCTCTGGATGAACCAAGTCCAGGGTCACTTCACTCCACCCACTTCTACAGCCACACAGAGGATTCTTGCATGAACAGCCTTCTACACTTCTGACCCAGCCTCGGCCTGCACTCCCAGTTTGTATCACATTTTCTGCCTTAAGCTGAGTTATTTTAACCTAGCCTGTTGTATTGAGAGCAACTTTTCTGTCATCCCTATCTGACACCTGCAGAGCCACAGAACCCTAATAAACAAATCTGCTCTGGAATCATGCCCCTGGGGGCTCAGGAGTAAGAGAGTAAGGGGCGGGTGGAGGAAGAGAGCAGTGACTCCACCAGAACGTGGGGACCTCATTTGGTCCCGGAAATAGATGTGGATCCAGTCCCTCCACCCGAGCCTCTGGCAACCTTCCCATCCAGCCTCTCCCTCCCTGCCATAGGGGTGTTTCCTTTTTCAGAAGCATACAAGACACCGGGCCCAGTGGGCATAACCAAGGAGCTTGTTTGTACATTAAAACATTTCACCCTTCACTTGCACCAGACATTCTTTTTTTTTTTTTTTTAACATTCCTAAATTGATATGCACCTCACTTCACTTAGCCCCAATACGATCTCATCTACGTTTTAAAAAATCAAGACAGGAGAATCAGAGGCTGTTAGAACTGGAAGGGGCTTCTGAGAGGACATGAACGAATGCTGTGATTTCACAGATGAGAGCACCAACCCGCTTGCCTTGGGACACACAGCTCAGATGTGAGAGGAGAAAGCTCTCCTGTGCCACCACCCCCGTGCAACAACCCTGTGGCTTTGGTACATCCTTAAATACACTGCTGTGTGATTCAGTATCAGTACATGTTGGTATGTGAACTGGTATACACTTAAAACTCCACAAATCAAAAAGCTCCAAAAACCAAGTAAGCCTGTCACCTGCCAGCCACGCTGTGCGGTCCTAATGACCCTCATCAACCCCTGGAAACCTGGGGTAGAGCCAGCCCACTTCCAGGAGGTCAGCCCAGCAAACGGGGAGGGGGGTGGTTATACAAAATACAGGTGTGCCAGAGACTACTGGGACTTCATAAAAGCCCAAACAGAAAGGCTCATAAAAGCCCAAGGAAGTAAACCCACAGACAAATTTATCAGAACACGTGGCATTCTCCCTAACCGGCTGCCTCAGCGTCAGGACTGCCCCATTCAGGGTGACCACTCTGTCCCCGTGAGCGTTCAGCATTCACTGCTGACAAATGACTAGGCCTAATTAGGGCTGCCGCAGAGAGACCCCCACAGACAGAATCCGGACCCTCCTATAGAAGGAGCCAGGGCCATCTGCATGCAGAGAGGCTACCAGTCCTTTTTCCTACACATTTCAGGAAACTTTAGAGCTTTGTTGAAGAAGTTCTCATTTTTTAAATATAAATTTGAAAGCAATTTTCAATGACTCCAGCTGAAACCAGGCATTAGAACAAGCCTGTGGCCTATGCCGCAATTCTGACTGGCCCTGCATCTGCCAGGCACTGTGATTTCTAGGGAGAGCCCAGGGCAGACCCTTGGGCTTCCAGCATGTGTACGCTGAAAAGGGGCCTCCAGTGGTAAGTTGGCGAGGGGATGGTGCCAGCCAGCAGCCCGGGACACCCTGGAGTGTAAGTGAGAGTTGCCAGGGCCTCCCAGGCAGCCTGGCTCGGCCCCTGCTCTCCATGGATAGCAGGTTACACTATTTCTCTCTAGGATCTAACTGTAGGACCCGGATGCCATCATGGGTGATGTCACATGAAATA